ACAGACTTGGCAGGAGATGTGTTGTTTGGCCCAATTGTTTTCATCTCCAGAGAAAAGAGCAAGTGGCTTGGGCAAAGGTCTTGGTGTGTTCCAGCAGCTGAACAGCAGCTTTGTAAGCACACCCTATGTGTCTGCAGGGTGGAGGAGGTTAGGGCTGGAGACCTGCTGCTGTGGGAGTGTGTCCATAGAGCTGTGCTTGGAGATGGGCTCAAAAACTGGGAAATACTGAAACTGGGCTCCAACAGATGGAGGTATTAAGAGTGGATGGCCCCTTGGGGATGTTATCTACCATAACATGGCAAGGCTCTGGATGCCAGGATTAACCAACACTTCTCACAGGAGTAAATCCTCCTTTTTTGTGACTTGTTTCGATAGCATTCTGCTAATGGCAGCATCTGGGATGGTAAGAAATGTCAGCTGTCTCTATTATAGACAGGAACAAACTGTCTGCTTAGCAGAGATTTTCCACATGATGTCTGTGCATCCCCTAACCCTGCCACTGAGGGCTGGACTGAGCTTTTATTCATCTGTCCTTTTAAATGGAATAAAGACTGAAGCATTTATTTATTTTGAGAGGGAAACTCTGTAGAGAGCTGCATGATACTTGCTAGTGAGAGATGAAAGAAGATGTAAGTTGATTTGGACAATGTAAAAGCTTGATCTTCCCTCCTGGCCTGAGGCTCTGACAAAAGACCTGGTATTTGTTGCCAAGAGGTTGGGAGGAGGTTTGAGCTGTAAGTCCTCGAAGCTGACCTGGTCTAACAAGGAGCAGTTTTCCCCTGCAACAGGTGTGAGTGACTGACATGCAAAAGAGAGGGGAAAATGAACCCTTCTTTCTGTTATTCTTCAACTGCATATCAAACGAGAGGAGTCCTGTTAGTGTGCCGCCCCTCTCTCCTTTTACAAGGCAGTACTGTCAGATCAGATTGTTTGTATTACTTTAGAATGGAAAAGAATAAAGGCAGTTTCTATAAAGAAGGACTTGAAAAGGCTTCACTGGTTTTTCATCAGAGCTGTTGGAAACCTTCCTTCCCCCACTGCCCCTTCCCCAGTCCCACCCCGCTCACCTCTTCCTGCCTTTGTCAGGGAAGTGTCAGATTTGACACCTTTGCAGTAAGGTACAGAAATGCAAATGGAGAAATCCAGCAACACCTAATCAGAGGATGTAAACTTTCTGTGAACCTAATTTGTGGATTTAAGGAAAAAAAGCCCTATTGCTAATAACACATTTCTAAAATGCTTTTGACACTTTTGAAAAACTCTTAGTAGTACTGCTCTGACCTGGCTTTTTCATTTCAACCAGTACAGGACTGGTAAATGCTCAGGGGATAGCATGTAATCCCTGTGCTCTTCCTAACCATCCTGGCTTTGGGAGAGCAGCTGTCTGGGTGGCCTCACCTCTGCCTGTTTCTTGCTGCAGGAGCAGGGCTGGCACATGCCCAGGTCTGCAGTTGCTGTGGCAGATGTGCAGGGAACTGTGTGGGCCACCAGCCCCGGAGGGTTACCCCAGGTGTGAGAAGTGCAGTATATGCAGGAATGGGAAAAGGCACAGGTAAGTGGGGAAGGCCAGCTTTGGCTCCCATTCTCCAGGGCCAGTCCAGGAAAAGCAACACGTCCATGGTGCTGCTTAGAGATGGCTTTGCTGCCCCTGCCTCTATCCACTGCCAAACCAAGGCTGGCACTTCTTTGTTGACTCTGGGCAGTGTTTCTGTCACCAAAGTGTCAGGATTTGCACTTGCTTTCATAGGAGTGTTACAGAGAGCCCTAACCCAAGGGTCTTTCATCCCATGGAAATGAAGCTGCCTCCGGTGTTCCTGCAGCAGCAGAGGGGCCGGAGTGGCTGCCCTGGCCCAGGATCACCCCTGGATGTCACAGCCAAGGCCAGTGAGCTCAGGTAGATGGTCTACAGTGCTGCTGTGTATGCTGGTGTGAGCCACAGGATGGGTTGTTGCTGTGGCTTCATCTCCCTCTTGAGAGCCCCCTCACAGAAAGGGCCTTTTCCAGCTGTTACAGGTAACTCTGGCTGAGTGCAGCAGGGTAACAATACACAGTGACATGTCCTGTGGGAACTGCCCTTGGTGGTACAGCAAGGTATTGTTACCTGGGCTACCTGTGGAGAGTGATACCTGGGGGTAAGAGCTTTATATAAATAAACCCTGACTTGTGCTGGGCCTAGAGAGGTGCAGTCTCAGTCCAAGAGGTCATCTTGTGTGTAGGGTGTTACTCTCAGTGCAAGTGTCCCAGGCTCCTTTTTCATTTACACTTCAAAATACTGACCTCCCTCCCTAAAGCAGAAGGGTCACTACAGCTCTCACTTCCCCTTGCTCAGCTGGTTTTTGCCTCTCTCCCCCCAGTTCAAAGGGAATTTAGCACAAAAGGGGATGAGAAGAACCACAGACAAATTTGATGGCCATCTTTGAATAAGAACACCCACCTCAGGTAAAGAAAAATTACAAAGGATAGGTCTTACCAGTATCCTACTTTCTATTTTTATTATTCCATAGGGTTCTTAGTAAAACAAAGTTCCATGTCTAGTCTCTTGGTAGTTAGGTTGCTTCCTTTCTTGCTTGTTCTATGTTTGAGAACTTCCACGTATTAAGATACTTCACAGCCTTTTTTTTCTCTTTACAATGGCAGCTCTCTGAAACGTATTTCCCAGCATAAATAACCTGGCATCTCCCCAAAGTAGGAATAGGGAGGGATCAAAGTTAATATACAAGAATGCTGAAGGTCTCCCCCAAGCCCCCAAGAAACTAATTTAAAGAATACTTTCCAAAAAAAACACCCTCGCCCGTGAAGTTATGCCCCAGGACAGGATTTGCCTAGCACTTCTGTACATGTATGAGCAGCACCTTCAGATGGCAGATCCAGTATAGTAGGTTTGAGAATGGCATCCAGACCAACCAGCCTAGAAACCTGTGGCCTAAGACCAACCTTAGCCAGGATGACCTTGCTTCCTGCAATAACTTAAGTGTCTTCTAGTATTAAACAAAAGAATTTGAATTCCACTACTTAACAATGCTTAGTACAAGAACTAAGTGCTTAATTACCAGCATTGTTTCCATTACATACTGTTGTTAATAATAGGGAACTGTATTTTTAATTTTTTGAAGTGGGTTAGAAGTATATCACATTACACAATACATGCCATGTTGTGAATTCAGTTATTTTTTTATTAAAGATTAAAAATAAAAAACATTTGACACCCTAATATACATAAAGTCACAATAAACTCAGATGTGCTAAAAGCAAAATGTGCATAAAGACACTCATTTCTAAAAGGCACCCTGCCACCAGTATCTTTTAAATGTTTGTCTAGTTCCACCAGGTTTCTAGTTTTCTCTCCCTTCACTGAAGGGGAGACTCCAGACTGCTACTGAGTACAGATGCTAACAAGACCAACCCCTTTCAGGGGTCTGTGCTATCACTAAAACACTTAAAACCGTGCATGCAGACTTAGCTCGAGCTTCTCATGGAGTTAACCATCACGATTTAAAATACACAAGGGCTTTTCCTTAAAAAAAAAAAAAAAAAAAAGGTAGTGGTATTTGGGCCACTTATAAGGGCCAAGAAAAAAAAGAGAGAGGGTTATAACTGCTGTGTATCCAGAGAGCTTTGCTACTACAACCCAACTCCCTCCCCTCCCCCTTCCCCAACCTCTCATAAAAACAAACCCCTGAAGTTACAAAATGCCACACACACAAATGAAATGTTAACGCGTTCGCTATTAGCCTGTCAGGGTGTGACAGCGTCAGAGCGCCACTGATACAGTCCTGGAGTGTGTGCACACACACTCTCGCACGCTCGCATACACACACGTGTGCCGGCCGTGCCCCTGCTGCCGTGGGCCCCCTTGCTCTCCCCCATAGGTAGGTGTGCGTTGTCTCCCGCTCCTTCGTTACCAGGGTCTCCACATGGATTTGGGCAGGCCGGGCGAGGGCAGCCCGCGCGTCTGCGACGCGTCCAGTCCGTCCGTGCGGGTCTGGCCCGGCTCGGCCTCCGCCTCGTCCGAGTCGGAGCAGGTCTCCTCGCTGGGGGACGGCGAGGGCGCCGGGGCAGGCAGGGCCAGGGGGGCCCCGGCAGGCAGGGTTAGCAGCGCGGCATCCCCCAGAACGTCCGTGAGTGAGTCCGGGCAGCCGCCCTCGCTGAGGGGCATGGACTCCAGCAGGTGGTTGAGAAGCTCGGCAGCCGTGGTGGCGTCGATGCCGGGGCAGCTGGAGACGAAGGTGTGCACCTCGTGCATGCACTGGATGTACCCGGCGGCGAAGCGCTCGCTAGCCTCGAGGAGCCGCCGCCCGCCGCCTGGGACAGAGAGGGGCGCGGGTGAGGCGAGGGCCGGGCCGGGCGCCCCCCGCCGCCCCCCGGGCCCGCACTCACCGCGGCCGCGGCGCTCCAGCACGGCCCGCACCCGCCGCACCGTCCGCTCCAGCACCTCTGCGTTCTCCAGCTTCGCCTGAAACTGACCCAGGGCGCCCCGGCCGTCAGCGCGGCCCCGGGCCCCGCCGGCCCCCGCCCCGCCGCGCCGCCGCCTCACCTCGCTATCGGCGAGCAGCAGCCGCAGCTCCCGCAGGCTCTCGTTGATCCGCGCGCGGCGCTTCTTCTCCACCAGCGGCTTCCTTGTCTGCAGGGACAACAGCGCCATCAGACCCCCCGCCCAGCCCGATCCCGCCCCGCCCTGCTCGCCGCGGCCCCCGTCGCTCACCCTGCGGTCGGCGCGGGGTTCCGCGCAGCCTCGGCCCCGCAGCGGGTGATCGGTACGCGGCGCCATGGCGGCCCCTGAGCCCCGCTCCCGCCCCGCGCCGTCCGCTTTATACCCCGCGATTTGCATGTCAATGAGCCCATTGGCCGCGCCGCGCGGGCCGCGCCGCGCGTGGGCCGAACGGACCAATGGGCATCGCGCGCTTTGTCTGCGCTGGGGCGGGGCTGCGCGGCCGCCGGCGCTGCCGGAGCGGGGCGGGCGCGGAGCGGGAATGCAATGGGGATCGGGATCGGGATCGGGATCGGCCCCGCTCTCGAGGCTGACACCGCCCGGAGACTCTCAGTCTGGGCTGTGGGAAGGGGACGTGCCCTCCCTGCAGCTTGCGGCTCCGCGAAGCAGCGGTTCATGTCAGTCCAACCCTGCAATGAGCCCCCAAACACCCAGCGCCCGTTACGGGTTCAAAGCATCGGAACACGCGTGAGTGCGGTTCGTCGGGGGGCCGTCGGTGCCCCTCGCTGCCGACAGGGACCGACCTGGGCGTGAAAGAGGCAGTCTGAGCTCTGAGCGGGAACCAGCGGGACTGAACAGGCACGGCTGGCCAGGGGCCAGGTCCTCCTTGTCCTGCCCCATCTTGGTGGATGGGGAAGCTCCGGGAGCCGGAGTTTGGGTGCCTGCCGGGGAGGACGCGCCCGTTCAGGCTATGCAGGGCTGTGCTGGACACCAAGGCTGTGCTGGACACCACGGCTGCCCCTCGGGGCAGCCCTTCCCCAGCCCCAGGGGCCGCTCGCCCGCCCTGTGGCCACGGGCAGCCGGGCCCCGAGCGCTCGGTGCCGTCCCCGGGCGCGTCCAGCCCTCCGCCTCCCCTGTCTGGAAGCGGCGGGCAGGCCGAGCTTTGTGCGGGTAACTTGATGCTGATGACAGTTGGCAGCTGCAGTTCCCCCGGCATACTGAGGCAAATAAAAGCATTAGGGCTCGTCCCCGAGGAGAGCGACAGGTGTTCGCTCCCGCTCCTTTGTTTCCCTCCTTTTATTCTCTTCGCTAATGCATGTCATATTTTTACCCCCCGAGGAAACGGGAGACGCGTCCGCCGCTTGACTCGGCACTGCCGCACGTTCGCCTCCCTCTATGCGTCCGGCATAGCTCCGCTCCCGCTCCAGCTTTTCTCCCGGTTTGTTTCGCCATGGAAAGCCCAGTGGTTTTGGTGGTGCTGAGGTTATCCTTGCTGAGAGGTCTGATGTGAGCTGCGGGCGCCCACAGCTGCGTAGAGCCTCGTGACCCCCGGCTCCATCATTTGTTACGGATCCGCACCTGTAGGTCGGTGCCTGGCGCGTCTCGCGTGGTCCAGGGGTAACGGCACGTGCTCTGGGAAAGGCTGGGGTGGCTCTTAGTCAGTCCCACTGTTACTCAAGGCTGCTTTTCATCTCCTAAGCGCTGTATAAGCACCCGTGCCTGCACTGTGTTAATCCATGTCTGATAAAAGAGCAGACTGAGATAGAGAAGTTCAGCAGTGTCTCCTCACAGCCATCACAGAGGAGCACATCAGGGGTAGGGCTGGCATGTGGGGTATCCTGGCTGGAGACTCAAGTTCAGGCCACTCTGCTTTTTGTATCACAGTGGACAGGAGATGTTATTTTCAGAAAGGTATTTCTGTTGTGTTTCTCCTTTTACGTTAAAGCATCAGTACTTGGATTTTGTCAAAGAGTTTGTCCAGTCGGTGACAAGTTTCCCTGCACCAAGTAGGAGCAGAGTAGGATGTACGACTAAGTCTGTCCTTCTGCTTTTCATGTACACAGTTCTCTGCATAACACAGTGTTGGAAACTGGCTCATTCTTTTCATTGATATAATTAATGCTGGCTAAGCAGAAACGCTGTTTGGAGCAGGCCAGGTCCACAACATTTTTGTATTTAAGTGAGTAGAGACATCTGTGACTGCATTTTGTATATGTTTTATGCATACTTGGCCTGGCAGGGAAAAACCACAATTGTATGGGTGCAAACTACAGTGAAGTAACGGGTGTCACGATTTTGGAGGAGCCATCTTCTTTCTGAAGCAAAACTAGGCACATAAGGTCAGCAGAGGTGTATAAAACACACTAATATACTTATACATATTTATAAAATACGTAGTAACACACAGTGTATGTAATCATGTGGTAAAAGATGAACTAAAAGATTTTGTGAGCTTGTTTTCCCTTCAGAGAAAGCTTAGCTTTTCCTAGAACTGGGCTGGGGGGAGGTGAGTGAGCAGCTGCCTGGTCCTTGGGTTGCTGGCTGGGGTTAAACCACAACACATAAGTAATCAGATGCTCCAACAGTGGGGTAACGCTGGTATAAATTCTGCTGATTTACACAAGAGTCACTGCACCACTGTGGCTGCAGGTGCAGTCCCCAAACCTGTCAGGCCTCTTTACTGCAGGTGTTGGTATCAGCTGTGTTTCAGAGCTAACTTAGGCTGGAGGATTAACTCCCAAATTCACCTCAGTCGAAGTTCAACTGTGTTAGGACTTGGGTGAGGAAATGCTGGTGGCTGCTGAACAGCAACGATTTCTCACAAGCCTCTCAGATCTGTGTGTTTTCGAGCAGTGAGGAGCTGCAGGGGTAGGTTGAGGACTTCTGAATGCATGAGAAGAGGAGACTCTACCAGCAGGCTAGCAAATCTTGGCCAAGGATGGCTAGAGAGAGTTGGCCATGGTTATAACATCCTATTTCTGCTCTGACTGGATGGGTGCTGATGGCAAGGCATTGTACTGTTGCTAGCTCTTGTTCTGCAGCATGTCTTTTTGTATTGTCTTTGAAAAGCTGCTGATCAAATGAGTTGACAAATGCTGGAGCTGTTTGTGCTGGGCATTAAAAATGTATGTGCCATAAATATCAGGGCATCACTAGAGCTGCCATTCTGGAGGAGGGAGTCACTGCAGGCTATCTCCTCTAGCCCATGGGATAATGTGATATTTTTGTGCTACTTTAAACAAGTTCCATCATATCAGGTGAAGTGAATCATGGTAACCTCATGCATTTTAATAGAAATGTCAACTGCAATCTTGTAAAAGAAAATGTTCCTTAGATACTTTGTCCAATATCTCAGTGCTTGCCCATGCATGGTGGTTCCTGAAGAAGATTTCTTTCACAAACCCCATCAACTTATCTGTATCATTCTTTCCAGGTTAAACCCATTCTGCTCTCTGTTGATGGGGAAGTGTATGGGCACTGCTTCCTCCTCTATGGAGGGTGGGAGTTTAACCTTTACTAGAATGGGGAGCTCTGTCCTGTCAGAGACGGGCTCCTACACGTGCTATAAATTGCAGTCTGGGCAAGGAACAGCATAGTTTTAGCAGAGATAACTGGATCTGTGCCCTGCTGCATGTGCTCTCCTGCGAGCCTATGCATAGGGAAGAATAACACAGCATATAATAACAGGCTTTAATTCTTTGTAGATGATGCAGCTGTGGTGGTAAAGGCAACTGTGGGAGGCAATCCTGCAGCTTCAGCTATGTGCCATGTGTTTTGGAGGGCCAGGTAAGTGGCAAATCCTCATGAGATGGGGAAGTCTGACATGTAATGCCTCGCACACTTTTGAGTTGTCAGGTGCATTTGGAAGGTCTTGAGCTCCCAGAAGAACATCCACAGAGGCATAATGAAACTTCAAAAATTTTTAAGTACTCTAAAGGCCAGTGTGCTGCCATCTGTGTTCTTGGACTGGAAGCATTGGTGACCCAGGCTCTCCATGGATAATATAATCAGAGCACGCAATAAGGACATGATGAGCATGGACAAGGTCCATTGGAAATGCTTGAGTAGTTTCTTTCATAAATGGTATAACATCTGTTGTCGTTGGAGGCACAAGTTCCTGTCAAAAAGACACGTCACCCTTATAAATATTAATGGTGCATATAAATGGTGGTGCGTGTGAACTGCGGCGGATGTCAGGTTAATGGGGGAATTGCTCCTTAGGCATCAGTTTGCTGTCATCATACTTATTTCTGTACTAACAAATATAAACTGTTTAGGTGGCAGAGCAAGCAAAGAGCTGTCTTCCCCCTCCTCCTCTCCCTGGAGTCCCTTCACAAATGAAACTTGTACTGTAATTAGTCTCCTGCCTTGTTGCTAATGAAAATTAGTCCTGCTTGCAGGGCCGAGGAGGAGGGGAGCATGCCCGGAGCCAGAAGAGCTGAGGCTGTAGGTGATAAATGAAGCGAATGAGGAAGGCTGTTTGGGGAAGTTTGCAGCATTCCCCATCAGCTTGATCCTCGCTGCCTTTAGTGCCATCGATTTCTCTGCTGTTAAAAGCTGATGTTTAAGAGGAAAATAGGGTGGAATATCACCACTGAGCTGCTCTTGGGCTCCAGTCTGTTACTGCAAATTGTGTTTGCTGCCTTGAGCACTGAGTTCCTGTTGCCCTTTTCAAAAACCATAAGGCTTTTCCTATCTTTTTTTATTTATCAACAGACTTGGCAGCAGCACTGGTGTTCATCAGCTGGGGCACAGAAGAACAGTTTCTGCCAGCCACAACACTAATGAGTACATTCAAAAGGGTCTTATGTCCTTTCACAGAAGAGCCCCCAGACCCTGTTTGCTGCCTGTGAAGGCTTGGAGTCCCCTTTGTGTGAGAGAATGTTTTCTGCCATTTCAAAGGTACTTGGACTTTCTGCTATTTCAAAGGTACTTTAACTTTCTGCCATTTCAAAGGTGGTGATTTTCAAATGCAGCAAATGGTGAGGGGCTGTGCTGAGCAAGCAGTGAGGACAGTGGGGTGTCTCCCTGCCGGTGAATGATGAATAGGTGTCGTGCACTGCAGAGCTTCCCCCAACAAAACTCTCTGTGCCACCTTTATTACCTTGTCAGTCTGTTGGGATACAGCAGAGATTTGCCTAAACTCATAGAGCATTGCAAACTGCTTCAGCTCCTACCCCTTAGCCCATGGTCCACTGTCAGTGACTGCGACAGGATCCCATGCCTTTGAGGTGAGGGACCATTGCCCAGTCACGTTGTGTGTAACGAATTTATTTCAGGGAGGTGAGAATAACTGTCAGAAGCAAGTACAGAGTTGTTTTTCAGTTGGATTAAAAAAAATAATCTGTCTGTGGTTCTTCAGGGACCAGTTTTGTCGTGTTTCCAGTGAAGCCTCTTGTGTTTGATTTCTCTAATGATTTTTGGTAACTGAAAGTTATCCTTGTCATCTTCATCATAGGCTTTATCCTATCTTTGTAACAGGGATGCATGTATCACTAGTCCTTCTCTGCAAGGTATTTATATTAGTTCCTAAATGCCTTACAGGCATCCTCGTTAAAGTGCATTTATTTCAGAGAAGGTGCTGAATCCCTTAAACACAATCTTGACTAAGGCTGAAATCGTTTTAAGTGTGTGCTCTTCAGAGCATGTTTCTTCTGACGTGCAGGGCCAGGGTAACTACCTGCCTGTACCTCTGGCAATGACACTCCAAGTTTGTTGACAGGACACAGGGTAACATGTACGTAATCAGGCTCTGAACTTTGCTCCTGTGTGTTTTGTGAAATGCTCCGGAAAATGCCCGCTTTCACCGTCTCTCACAGGCTTGCATTCACATTACAAACTGCATATATGGAGGTGGGAAAAAAACATATGCCCTCAGGGATGTCTGTGAGATCCTTTTTAGCAATGACAGCATTATATTTTATGGTCAGTTTTGAAAAACACTGGTCTTTCTAAGTCAAAATGAGAACTATTTTACAGGCAGAGAGACCAATCCCTTTTACTTGAGAGTCCCAGTACCCTATTTTGTGTTTTGCATAAATACTGGGTTTGACCCAGCACACAGATGTTTGCTGGCCCTGTCTGGGGGAGGGGAGGGGTGCTGGGTGGGCTGTGGGCAGGCCGTGGGGTTCCTTCGGACTGGTGGGTGGGCAGGAGGGCGGGTGGGGCAGCCCTGCATGAAGTGTCACAGGTAAGCGGTGCGTGGGAAGATATGAGGTAGCACGGTGGAGAGAGGACAAGGTCAGGGTGGATAATGGTTTCTTCTGGGGGTTGGGGGTATCGGCCTGGCTAGGGCCTTGAGAGGTACTCGAGCCCCGGGTGGGTACGGGGGCCAGAATGGTTTTGTTCGTTTGTTTGGTTTGGGCTCACCTGCAGCTACTGCCCAGGCTCAGTACGTTCTGGATATATTTGTTACATCCTGCAAGGGCGGTCAGGACAAAGGGTTGTTCCTGGGTATTTCCTTGGGATTGAATATAGATAGGTGGCAGAAAAGTGAAGGAAGTGAAAGCCTTGCCCTAATAGTTTTAATAGTAATGTAGCCTGTGTAACCCCATGTGGTCGTGAGCTATGCTGGCGATGGTAAGAGGCACAGGTGATGGCGGTAAATGACCGTGGTTCAGAACCATATAAAAGAGTTGATCTTGGTACTGATCTTGGGCAGAGGATCAGCAGGTCACAGCATCCTCCAGGAGAGAGTCCCCAGAGACGCTGATGCTGTTCCTTATGAAGCAAAAAGGCAGGACCTTTGGTCCCGGCACTGCCCTCCCTCAGACAAGGGCCCTTCTGTTTGAGTGGGATGTACATGTGCCCCACTGCAGGCCCCGATGTCCTGGTGAAGAGCAATCAGCCTGGGAGGGCAGGAGATGACACGTGGCAGTGGTAGATGACTCCTGAACGTGTTTCTGCCTTTTGACTTCTGAACGTGCTGCGATCACAGTCTCTGTTCTGGGCGTGTCACATGTTGTAGCATCCTGAACACCTTTGGTTTCTCACCTTTCTTCCTTCTGTCTCTCCTGGACAGCTTTGCACTCTCTGGAGCTGGGTCAGACAAGTTTCTAGTTGTGCTCTTCTGCTGCTTTTCCTCAATCAGCTAATACTTAGATATTCCTTAGTATTCTATACTGTCAAAAACATGTGGTGTTTTTTTGGGAAAACTACTCTGGTGATAAATGTAGTCCAAAGGGTTGGTGGAACAGGCTGTCTTGAGTTTCTGTTGGCTGTTATGTGGGTTGTGTTTCGCAGGCCCTGTGAGTACTAGAGCTTGTGGTTTCCTTCAGCATCTCCCCACAGCTCTGCTGCCACAGTCAGCTCTGCTAGAACCCTTCCTGTTTTCTAGGATTTTCTCTTCTAGGTAAAGTTTCTATATTATGATGACGGTTTTGGTTTTGCGTATTCATTTATTTCTTATGGCTTTTTATGGAAGAGAAGAGTTGCAAGGAGAAAAGTTGAGCTCCAAGAATGAACATAAACATCCACCATCTAAACATAGTGTCTGAGAGTTAAGTTTCTTGAAAGGGAGATCTAGAAAATCCCTGTGCTTAGCAAGAAGCCACCTGGAATTTGTCAGGAAACATTGCGTGGGTGTATCTGAAACCCTTCTAATCCCTAGAGGTGATTTAAGGCTTCAGACAAGTGCTCATCTATTCTGGATCTAGACCCATCTTGTGGGGTTGGGACGCACAGCACTCATGGGCAACACTGCTTCCATCAGGATAGGTACTGCCTTTGCTGTCATAGTCTCTTGGCAACCCCAGCCCTGCATCAACTAAGAGACTTGCTTTCAATTTTTCCTTTCAGGCCAGGCAAATCCACCTCTTGGGATTGTGAAAACAAGGAGAGAAGGGGAATGTGGGCTCTGGGCTAAGGGTTGAGAGAGGGGAACTGTGGTTTCAGGTCCTGACTCCAAGGCTGCTTTTATTCTGTTTGTGTTGGGTTCCAGGAAAAGGCTTTATAATGTTTGTGTTCAGGCCCACGTGGGGAGGGCAATTGAGAGATTTACTCTAGTGCCGCCCATGTCTTTGTTGTGTCAATAAAGTTATTTGCACAGAATTCATCTGAAGGAGGAAGTGATCTTGAAAGCTTCTGGTCTAAACCAGAGTTTCCTGCTCCTTCTCCAGACAGAGGCCCCCCCCAAGACTAGAGGGGCCCCATGGTGGTGTGTGCCCCATGCAGCAAGTCCCTGGGGAGGGCAGGAGACACATCAGTCAGTGCTTGTAGCAGGTGGCCATCCCTGTGCAGCAGTGTGAGCGGGGCTGACAACCTGCACACACGTGTTCTGCACTGAGCAGCTCATCTGCTAGATGGTGGAGCAATGCTCAACAGTCAAATTGCTCTCTATTACGAATTGTTGAAAGTTCTCTTTTCACCCTGAATTGCTCAGTATCTCACTGCAACACCTCTCCCATGGTCCTGCTGGATGGAAATTACCTGTGTTAGACTGCCCAGCATGAGGCTGCATGAGTACTGGACTATGGACAGGACTCTGGATTTGTGCCATTGACAACTGCAGTAACATTCAGTTCAGGGACCCTGGGGTGAGAAGGGTTGTGAGGGGAGGAGGTAGGGGGTCCAGTAGGGAATTACCAACATGAGCAAGACCTGAGGGAAGTGGGCTTGTGTAGCCTGGTCAAGAGGAGGCTGAGGGGAATCTAACAACATCCTACAACTACTGGAAGTGCAGTTACAGAGTTGGAGTCAGGCTCTTCCCATCAGTGACAGATCACAAACCAAAGGGTCACACAGTGCAGCTTGCAAGGTTCAGATCAGATATTGGGAAACCCTCTTTCCTCTTATGGGGTTGGTGCAGCACTGGGGCAGGTTGCCCAGAGAGGTGAGGGAATCTCCCTCCTGCATGGCTTTTGAGACTCAGTTTGATAAAGCTACAGTCAGCCTGATGTACTGCTGGCAGTGGCCGTGCTTCAAGGAGGTTTGGTCTAGAGATCTTCACAGGTTCGTTCCAACAAGTATTTCAGTCAGTCTGTTGATTCTGGAAAGACTTCCAGCATGCTGTCAGAGTTTTCAAGGGGAATTTCTGCATCAAAATACCTGGTGTTTTTTGTTTAACAGAGTAACCCAGATCTAGATGGAATCTGTCTGCTCCAGATTACTGGGGCACTATGATCTCAATATGAAGGTTATTGTTTCAGGAAGGGGGATAGGTGTGGAAAGGAGTCACATTTGCCCCATGACCAGGAGGTGGGTGCAAGGGGAGGGAGCTGTTCTAACAGGTCAGGGTGGCTGGGATTTCATTTGCACCCACTATGGATTTTGAAATAGAAGCAAGTTCAAGTTTGCTGGAGCAGCGGAAAGCCGTGTGTGTGCATGCAGTGCTGTGTGCAGGAAACCCTAGGTCAGTAACAACATGCCTCTTTAGCACTTGTGCAATACAAGTAGCCAGTGAAAGACAGGAGGGGTGACGTGGAGCTATCTTTAATATCTTCTGTGATGCACTCTGAGCCTCTAGAATAAAGTCTTCCATGCTTGCCATCTAGCAAGCTTTTCTGGGAGTGATGAAGCTTGATTCCCTGTGGCTTTGTGTTGTCTGGTGGGAAGCTCTCTCCTTCATGCCCATTCTGTTTCGCTCTGCATTGCAACAAAAGTTGAACCGGCCTTGCAGGACCTCTCACCTTGGCCCAGATGCTCACACTCACAGAATTAACATGAACTTCACTTCCTTGTGGTTTATTTCTTCCTTGTTCCTTTGTTAAATTTATCTGTGGAAGTCAAACATTACTGGAGGAGGACTGACTGAGGCCTGTGGTGGGATTGTTTCCTTAGGGGAGAAGAGGTGAAGAGAGCAAAAACGAGAGTCCAAGGAGCCCGGCATTTTACCCCTGTCCTGTTATCCACAGATCTTGAACTTAATCATCACAAATATGTCATCATTGCTGAAGTCAGAATGAAGTTCAGCATTTTACTGTCAGCAATATTGTATGAACCAACTTCCTGTTTTGCTATGTCTTGAAATACAGTCCCTTTTATAGACTTGCTGCTAAGTTATTTAATTTTAATGCAGTTGGAATCAGGTTTTTAAAATGCACCCCAAACACAGTAAATACACTGTGTATCCAGGGCCTGCCTTATTTCTGCACGTGAATGAGATCAGGGGAACAAGCCAAGCGTGATGATGTCATGCAGTTGAACACCACTGTACTCGGTAGCACTGAGCTGGCTCTGTGTCTCCTGGCTGTACTGCAGACAGCTGATGAAACTCCAACTTTTCTGGGAAGACCTGTAAAATTTTCAAATTTCTTTCTTAAAATCCAGGTTGCCAGAAGAGGATTGTTCTCCAGTGAACTGCATTCCTCCAGCATAAGTGTTCTCCCAGCCTTGTCTTAGGAGAGAGAAAAAGAAAGGGCACTTGGCCCTGCAGGGTGCTGTGGAGGGTGTCCTAGGGGGGACAACATGAGGGGGACTCCCAGAAGAGCCCTCTTGACCCTCTGCTGCCCTAAAAAAACTGGACAGACAGACAGCTCCCTTTGCCAGGAGCAGCTGTAGCTCAGCAGAGGGCTCTTCTGGCAAATGCTGTACAGTGCTAATTAGCCCTTGGTTGGCCTCCAGCGCTTGTTTGTTTGTTTGCTTGTTTGTTTTTCTTGCACTGAATCATCTTACTTCCAAGACACAAGTAAAGCTGTCCAGTCAGCATCCTGAGCTGCCTGTTTCAGACATTACCTGTGTTGCTGCTGATAGAGCCAACCCATAAAGAAAAGAGATATAATTCTCATCTTCCCCATTAATGCCTGTCCCCTGTCAAAATCCTTCAGGAACTGGGTTTGTAACAGAGCTCCTTCTGCTTCCCCCTTTACCTCAGACAGTCGTGTTGGTGTGTGAAGCATGCAGAGGAGCTGAGGTACAGAGAGAAAGTCACCTGGTCTGTATTCTTTCCCTATGTGTTGGGATTGTGAAGAGTAGGGATGTGCTGCTCTTCTGTCTGCAGGACCTCAGACATCTGAGGAATAATGGTGAGCAGAGAGCTGAGGGTCCTGGGGGCAATTCATTGCTACCCTTGAGATCTGATTGAGTGACCTTCTGCTTGCAAGTGTACCAACGATACTTGTGAAACTATATCCTCCTCTGTACTGCTGCATTGTTTTGTTAGAGCACTAAAACTGGATGGCTCTGTCCTGTCTCTTTTGTTGGGTCAGCTGCTGTCTGATGTCCATCCTGCCATTCCTTCCCCTCTTCCAGGAGAGCCATGACGTTACAGCGGCGGTCGCAGCTCTGTGTACACAATGCCATTGATAAATTCCAGTCTGGCTGAAGCAGGAGGCATGGCTCTGAGGCAGCCTTTTTGAAGGTCTTCCATGATCTCTCTCTGCCAGCTGGCTCAAGGGTGTGTTCTGTATTAACACTCCTTGATCTGTCTGCTGGTTTTGACACCATGAACCTAGATGTCCTTGTGGAATGCTCTGAGCAGATGGTGCATCTGGCTGGGGCTGCTTCAGGTTGATTCAGATCATATCTTGGTGAGAGCTGCTCATTTGCACATTCCATTCCTTTCAGCGAGTTTCTGTCTGCTTCATGGTTCTCCCTGGGGACCCTCCCATTTCAGTGCCTATTGATCTGTTTTGGTTAAGCTGCTTAAGCACACACTTCTGGCTGCCTTCAAGCATCCCCCACACTCTCTGCTCCTTTGCCCAGCCTGACACTCCAGCACAGCAGAGAAATATTTGCAGCTCTTTTGAGGGTATGTCAGTGCAAGTAGTGTTGGTATTTGTGGATCAGTGCCCTAAAAGATCCAAGCAGTGCCCAGCCTGTCTTAGGAAGGGAAAGGTCTGATTGTCTCCCTTGTGTACATTGCTCCAGATATGTACACCTGCCTAGATGTATCTCAGCTTTTATCTCCACCACAGAGCCAAATCTGAGTGGTTCTGTGAGCTGGTGACTGATTTTTTTAAGCCAGGGCCTGCCTCTGCTGTTGAAAATCCTCAAGGGATGTCAGACCCTAGGGTCGCTGTCTGATGGAGTCTAAAATTGCACAGTCAGGCTGCACGATTGCTCACTGATCACCTGTTTATTGATGTATGTGGAGGAGTTCTTGGCTCTCCATAGTGTTTGGATGCTGTTCTCTGCTTCACTGTACACTTTAGAGATGTAGCATTACAAGGATTGACAGATCAATATGCACCTTAGGGCTTTAGATGTGTGTAAGAGTTGTGGCCAAAGAAAACAGCCTTTTGCTGAATACGGCACACACAGGTTACTTGGGCTTAAGTAGGCCTGATATACATGGGACTTTTGTTCTTTAGTTTGCAAATAGTGTCATCTAAACACTTCCACAGACTGGAAATATGAGGTGGAGAAATTACATGACTTCCCCTGAAATCACACAGCAGACAGCTGTGTAGTAACGACCAGCCTTTCTGTTGCCCTACCCACCAGAGAACATTCCTGCTGTACTTTTCCTTCTTTAGACACAGCCCATGATATTCCTTTGTGTATATCCCCTTCCCTTGTCCTTTCTTTCTTCCAGACTCTGGGCTCAGTGGAGAGGATTTGGAGAGGCTGAGTTACTGAGCTCCATCTGGAAGACAAAGCTCCACAACTTACCCTGCTTGCAAAAAACACCCCGCTCAAGGATTTCAGCTATTGAGGCAGCCATTAACAGGAATGAACTTGGTTAGTATATTCTTACCATCTCTAGTACAGGGCCACAAATCTACCTTCTCCCCAGAGGTGACAAACCCCAGAGGTGTCGTCACACCTGGCGTCTGCACTACGCAAACCCTCATGACTCAGCAGCAATTCCAGGATGAAACTCGGCAGGTTTCTTCTTTATGGGGTACACATTGTACCTGAACCTTATCAGAAGCAAGGCAATCCTGGCCGGCCTGTTACATCCCTACCTGGAACTCACCACGCAAGTAATAGCAGCGCAATAAAAGCCAACAGACAAGCTGGTTTCTTGGTTCAGCTTTGAAGTGGGAGCATCTGGCACTTCGCCACACTCATGTCAGGCCTCCACCAGCAACATCAGGGAGCCAGCAAAGCTGGGGTTCCAACAGCAGGGAACCCCACGCCATTGTGGTGCAGGTCCATGGATGCTTGATGGTTTCACCCTTCATGGAATCACTTGGTTGAGTTTTTTTCTTTCAGTTCATCCCATTTTTTCTTGGTGAAGTATGTCTCCTGAAACTGCACTAAAGGTACATGATGGAATCAGCAGATCCTTTTGAAATCTTCATGAATGAGTTCTGGCTTTAAATTAGCTGTTGTCCCCTGTATTTTGTCAGTTTTACTTCTGAATCTTCTTTTACCTGGCTTTTCACTGAGTCTAGTTCACTAAATTTAGCAGGACTTTGTGTGGATTAAGTGCTGTGTGCTGTAATTTGGCAGAATCTAGCCTGCTCAGGGCAAGCCTTGGTCATTTCTCTCTAACGCTCTTCATTTTTGTTCAGGTATAACTGTGCTACATAAAAGCTGGTCCCTTGATCATCTGAAGCCAGGAAAGGGTCTGGGCAACACGATTACCTCTCACACCTGATGCAGAGTGCAAAGGAGGATGGGGGAGAAACCAATCAAACAGCAATTAAAAACACCCAGGGGAAAGTTTGTGAGCTTTTGTTTGGGGTTGTGTGAGATAACCTCTTGCTTGCACTTCTGAGGAGAGCAAAGTCCTCCTTGCCTCACACATTGTGGCACAGGAACAGAGGTGAGGGGCAGTGCTGGGGAGGTGGGGAGGTGGGTGCAGGAGATGGGCAAGGGGAACCAGCACTTCAGAGAAAGCCAGTGCAGAGCTGAGGGCAGGGCCCATCTGTCCTACATGGCAGTGTGGGACTGTGTGTTCTCTCTTAGGACACCAAAGGGTTGTTCTGCTCTGGCATTACTGATTCTCCTTTCTCCAGATCATAAACTGGAATGATATCTGCATGCAACTCCTCCACCAGCCCATAGCAGCTCCTGCTCTGTACAGGTACCAGCCAGGGCAGTGTGTGCCCACACTGCCTCAGAGCAGCTCACCTGGGCTGGAATTTGGCTTTGCTCAGCTTTAGAGGCCCTGGATGCTCTTGCAATCAGTGTTTGCAGCTAAGCAGTGAGTTTGTTTCTTAGAGTTCATCCAAGTGTGATTTCAGGGTTTCACCAGGCTTTTGCAGTAACACAGTGACTTTAAGGAAAGAAGGAAGAGATGCAGCTTTCAGAGAAGAAAATACCTGTGAGTATCAGTGTTTTGATAGCTCCCTCCCAGGGAACCTGGTACTAATCCCTGGGCATGTGTCTGTCCTTTTCAGAGCCCAGCAATGACACAGAGTGCTCACCCTAGATGCCTAGAATTTGGGGTTATCCTATACTCAGTATATTCACCTTCCAAGAGGTCTGGGATGCAGGGGGCATGCAGCAGCTGTTATATGGTGGTGTTGTACAAACACAAGGCAGGTGTTAGCTGGCATCCTGTCTCTCATATGTCGAGTGTAATTGCAGGAGCTGCCACGTTTCCGCCAGCTGGGAGCATCCCCAGCGTATTCTTGTGGATATTGTATTCCCATAAATATAGATTGTCATACCACACTGAAATGCCCTCCCCAACAGATTGTTCCCCACCAGTTACCACAGTGGATGAGCCTCTCACTGCACTCTGATTTCGGATACCAGCAGGGAGGTGTTGCAAACCCTGCCCACACAGAGGCTCTCAGGCAGGCCATCCGTGTGGATGTGGGGAGCTGGATTGTAGGGCTTTGCAGACTGGTTTGTCTCTCCAATCCCAGTATGGAAAGGGCTGCCTGCAGTCAGTACCTTGGAAGGTTCTAACTGCATCTGGAATTTCTGACTCCTGTGCTCTGGGGTTGGGTGTGGGGTCACTCAGAAGAGGTTGTTCCTAAGTGGAGTACAACCTGTGCAGGGAAGTCTTTGTTGATGGCAGTCATTCCTATGCCTAGTTTTCTCACAGGTGTGATGTATGTGTATTATTTTTGGCCTCCCAAAGCAACTTTGGTGGTCCACCTTTCCAAAATTGCATGTGAAAGGAGGTCTTTCAAAGAGACCACCATGGAGTCTTTTCTCCCCTGGCCTACCTGTGCTGTGTCTCCTCCAGAGACATGTCACCTCTGCTTTTGCAGCTCTCTGTTCCTGTAACACAGATACCACCCAGAGAGGTGGGTTTCACCCACAGGCTGAGTTGTTGTAGGCAGCTGGGCAGTCATGGCTCTGGTAAAGGGGTTGGTTGTGCAGGCTTTGAACCAGATCAGAATCCCAAATTCCCCTGGACTAGGGAAGGAGTGGGGTGCCAAAAATCAAATCTGAAAATGTTTTTCATCCTTATGAATAGCTAATGCTGGTGTGAGCTGGGAAAAGCTTGCAGTCCCTGGGGAGATGAGGTGAGATGTGCTCCTGTCCAGGGTCAGATCTGCAATGGAGGGAGCACAAGGTGTGGTGAAATTCCTGGAGAAAATGGTCCCCAGGAGTACACATGGGAGTTCCCAGATGCTGCAGGCATCAAAGCAGCCCCCCAAGTGCAGGTGGGAGCCTGAGCTGGCCCCTGCGCCACAGCCAGACTCCACATGCCTTTGGTTTTGTTACTCATGCCTTAATCTTTTTGTTCCCTTGGGGAAACTCATAAAAGTAACTGTAAAATCTCTGGCAAGGTGATGGGAGGAGAGAGGAAGCATGGGGGAGATCTCTGCCCTGGCTGCTCTGATGATTCTGCAGATGCCCCGGGCAGAACTCCCCTCTTCACAGGGGCACCCATGCAGGTACTCACCCATCTCCTCCCTGTTAGCTGTGTTGGCTGATCAAAAAAATCCCCCGGACAGAGTGGGACCATGGAAACAAAATACAGGCCCTCACCACTTCAGGTATCCTCACAGATGGGCTGCTAGAGGTGGAGGGACACCTCAGGAGAGATGCTGCTGCAGAGATCGGGGCCGCTGCTGCATCACCCTGAGCGGGTGATGGACCCCAGACTGAGGATCTTCTGGAGAAGCATCTTCTTCACTGTGAGGCTGCACCATCACTTGGAAAATGAGATTAGGGCAAATATTTTTTTTTATCTCCCAGACAAGAGCACTGAGCTGCTGGGCATTTGATGCATCGGAGTGATTGGTCTCTGCTCGCTGCAGCAATGGGCAGCTAAGCCAGGGTGCTTAGCATCAGGAAATCCCTCACAGCACAACACTCTTTGAAGGCAAATGTGACCCTTTGATTGGCAGCTCTAAATCTGACTGGACTTAAAATAGGAACCTCAACATCAGCTTTCTGAAATTCAACTCCCCTTAAGCTTCATTGTTTCGGCCCTGCGTAATTCTGACTTCAGTATACAGGCAATTTGTATATTAGGCAATCTGCAAATGGAAACCATGGAAAAAAAAGTAAAATAAGGGTGTGCTATGGAGTGGCAGCCCTGTGCTTGCCATGTTTGCTCTTTCCCTGGGCCATCAGAGATGGGTTAGGTGGGCTCCTACTCTCATCTCAAGTGATTCTTATGCCCTTGTATCATAAGGGGTATTTCAAGCAATGGTGCAAACAGGGGAAATTCCTGTCTTTAAGTTGGCTGTTAGACACCAAACACTCCTGCACATGTAAATCCCACAGCTCAGAGGGTCTTCAGGCCAGAGGCCATATACATCAGTCTCAGAGTAACAGTGGGCAAAACCTCATGCTAAGAGCTCTCCTCTGCTTCTGTCTTCATTTCCAGCTGCCTACAGTATTTTTGATTGCTTACCCCAGCCAAAGCACAGATGCAATCCACCTGTGTTTCACCCAGGTGATGGGAATTTTTCACCAGCCATTAAATAGTCTGTGCCTGTTTTGCAGAGGACCCTGGATGAGACACCTCACATTTTCATGGCTGCTCATTGCAGGCAATCAGTGGCAGAGGTTTGTTTCTTTGTTTGGTTTTAATTATGCTGCTTCACTGCAAAATCCCTACCAGTTATATGAGTATAAAAGCACTGGGTAAACAAAGCTGATCTTGCTTGTCTGATGTGTGGATTCCACTGGTGGATTTTGCTGTGGTGGCGAGTTTTGCCAGTACAGCTGCACCAGCAAGACTGGTTAAGAGCAGGTGAGAGGAGCTGGATGCATATCAACTGATTGGCAGCCAATACACTGCATCTCCCGTGCAGTCGCTGCTGGCTCATGAATATGATGAACAAGGGTGTTTGCTCCCTGAGCCAGCATTCAGTGTGTTGTAAGTAAGGCATTGCTCATCCCTGCTCATATCTAGAAGCAGGAATGTGTGGTGGGCTTCCCATCTTGGGTTGCAGAGCATTCATCAGGGAACTGTATGAATGTGTGTGTGGACTTGTGCTCACTTGGCCACACTCCATCGTATCTTTAGGTTGGGGGTTTCTCTTCAGAGCCCCCCACAGTCAGATATTTCAGCACCCTAAACCAAACTCTCTGTAAAACCCAGGTCCCCAGGTGTGCAGGGAGCCCTTGGACAGTGCCATGCCTTGAGCTCTTGCTGTGTCCTGGAGGTGTGCCCAGGCTGGCTGCAGGCAAGCCTTTTGGGTGATCACTTTTACCACCTTGACTTGCATTCAAACAGTTTGGGAGTCGTCTGCTGAGGAGCTGCCAGTTGGTGCTGTTGCTGTTTGGTCTGGACCATGCACAGACATGCAGGGCAAGTATTGCTTCCTCTGCCTCCTTATCTCTGCCAGAGGAATGCAGCATCTCCTTCCTTCAGTGTACACACACCGTGCTCTGTCTCTAGGAATGGCCAGGGCAAAGCAACCTTTTTGGAGCTGGGGAGAGAGGGATGCTAGGGAGGAGCTGATGGCTGGAGAAAGAGGGGGGCATGGAAATAATTAGCATTTTTATCCTTCTTTTTGCTGAAAATGGTGGTTCTCCTACTCTCACACCTGTCAAGTGTTCCTTCAGAAAAGACAAGGCCCCTTTTCCACAGCAAACAAGCTGCATGATCTTGAAGCCATTTTGTCCTGCCTGTGAGTGCAGTAACTCTTTGGAAACCCAAAGAGTAGTCTGCCCTGTCTCTGCACTGTGTCTGAGGGGCACAGCAGGAACTGAGCTCTGATTCCTTCACAATATCTGGGAAGCAAGACGCACCAAAATATGCCACAGAAGGACTCTGATGGCAGCACATACAGGGCAATTTGCTGCCTTGCCTTATGCACTTTATTTCCCTGTCTGTGGTTGCTTCTCTCTGCTCTACTTATGTAGCTTTCACTGCTGCTTTGGGCTGATTCTTCTGCCCTCGGTGGTATTGACTTTATTGTAGAAAAATTAAGGAGGCTCTTGGAGAAGCAATTATTTTGTGTACTGGCTTTAGGCTTCTCATGTTTTGCTGCCTCCTTATCTTTCTGTTTCCCAAGTTGTGTGACAGATACTTCTTTATGTGTATGTTCATAGGTATGTACAAACATACATGCACTTACACCTATATATACATACACAAATATGGATATAAATGGTGGGCCAAAGAAACTGTTGTTGAGTTACTGGAGAGGCCTTTAAAATGAGCATGTATTGCCTTCACATATTTATTGAGGGGGTTTTCACATATATCTGATATATGTGAAAACATATTTGTTATATTTCACATATAACAGCGGTGAGCACAGTGTCCTGGCATGGCTGAGCCCCGCCAGGTCAGCCCAGCACCACGCAACAGTGTGGTGTCTGGGGACTCAATTCAGCCACGGATGTTTTGTGGCCCTGAGGCAGCCAGAGTTTGCTTGTCCTCAGCCCTTTGCCTCCCTATGGAGAGGTGACAAGGTTGAAAAGAGTATTGTTGAAGACATCTGGGACAAGGACATCTCACCTTTGAGGAGGTGGATATTGTCCACCTTACTGTGGTTCACGCTCCAGCTGTGGAAGGATTTGGGATGTCTGTTTAGGAATGGCAGAGATACATTGGTGCTGGAGTGAACCTGCTCTTGTTCTAAAACACGCAACCTGCTCTCCTGGTTGTTCCTTTTCCTTTCAGCATTTCATCTTTGACTGGTGAAACAGCATTTCCCATTACGTGGAGAATTCTGTCCTCTCAAGCTAGCAGCAGTCTGTCAGAGGGAAAATCTGTGTTTGCTCCTCTCCCATGGGTGCTTTCCCAGTGCCTGCCTCAAGCTGCCTGTCCTCTCTTGGGATCCACCCTGACCACACAAGCGGTTGTGGAGGTGCGTGGTGTGGAGCAGAAACTCCTGGTGGTGATGTGGCCCTGGCCAGCTGAGGACAGGTAGGTGTTTCCCAAAAGCATCCCAAGACTTTTTGCCCAGTGGCCTTTTGGGTGGAGGAGTGTGCCCTCGGCAGGCAGATCCCTTCCTGCTCAGACTTGCTTCCCAATCCCCAGGAGTACTGCAGGCTGGCTCTCTACAGGCAGCTGGAGCAGCGCCTGCCCCAGGTTCAGGGCGGGAGAGCTGTCTGCGTGCTGGGTGAGGACTCTCTGATCTGTGTGCCAGGAGCTGGATATAGACACAGACAGCTGGATGAAAGGTGTGTAAAATCCCCCTCGAGGGGCTAGGATTGAAACTGTGAAACCAAAAGTGTGTGCAAACATGTTAGGCTCCATTTGGGGCAGCCATATTTCCCTCCAAAACCAGTGGGAGTGGAGAGATCATAGGCTCTAACTCTGCTAGTGTTTCATTTTGGAGCAGTCGTGTGGTTTTGAAGCAAATTTCCTAATTGTCCTCACTCTGTGTGCACTGTGTTCGTTGGTGGCACAGTTTTTGTGCACATAAACTGTGTTCATCTTGGTGGAAACCAGACAAGTTCTGCTCTGAGCTTGCAGCAGCCATGGAGGAGGATGTGGTGGTTGAAAGCAGCAGCTGGTCCTCTGGGCAGCTGTGAATGACACACATGTCCAGAGGTTTGGTCCAGGTGCTGAAGCCTACCTGGAAGTATCATCCATGAGCAGCATGCATGGTAGATGTAGGAGCCTCGAAAGCAACTTCTTCAGCCAACAGATCTCCTCTGTCACACACAATTATTTGCTGGCATAGGTGCTGCCCATGAGTTTATGTGACCTCATGCCCTTGGTGAGTAGTGGCTTCAAGTGAGTGTTGAAGTTTTGTGCTCCAGGGACCACAGGTCACCCCGCTCATGTCTCACACCTACAACTGCAGTATGGCCTGTGCTGAAGTGTTTGCATTGCAGGCTTTGCCCTGCTTGGGGGATCCCCTTTGCAGTAGGATCAGCATGGGCCATCACAAAGAACACTGGCTGCTGTTTTATACATTAGGTGTTTGAGGGAATGGCAAGAATGGCTTTCTTCCTCCATCTCTGGCTGCTGAGTCCAAAATCAGGACAAATGCTGGGGATTCCCTGGTCTGGAAAGTAATTGCAGCCACCCTGGAACCCTTTGGGAAGGCTCCTGCCGCTCTCTGCTGCTGTAAAAGCACCTCTACTGGAGAGGTGTGGGATGGAATGGTCTGGTTCATTGGAAGTGTTTTGGTGGGAGGTGGGAGTGTCAGCCTGCCTCGGTGTGCTCAGCTGCCAGGCACTGTGCCCTGGCTGTGCTGCAGCCAGGCTGAGCAACCTGACCAGGAGCTGCACTGTGCCAGGGAGTACCCCCAGGAGCACCTCCAAGCTCATCACCTTTGGCCTCTGTCCTTCAGCTACTGCCAACCTGGGAATGGCAGCAGAACCACCCAGTTAGTGCTCAGAGCAGTGCCAGTTTCCCTGCAGCTGTTGGAGGAACAGCTGAAACAGAAAACAACTCTTTTCAGGCTTAATGCCAAGGTTTCCCTCTCCTTCTTGTCTTGCTGTGGGTATCATCTCAAACCACAGGCTTCCTGAATGAATCACTAGTGCCTGGAGTGGCCAGGCACCACTTCCAGCAGGAAGGGGCAGAGCCTGCTACTCTGATATGGGCATCACCTCACAGCCAGTTGATAAGGGGCCAGGGCTGGAAAAAATTCCTCATGAGAGCAACAGAGGGTCACTCTGCAAAAACAAGGCATCTCCCAGCCACAAGTTAATCTTTCCAAGCACAGTTTCATGCTTTCATGTTGCCTTTATGTCATCTGTGGGAGAACAAGCAATGCCTGGTCTGGGGGGGACGTGCCCCTCATCTGGCATAGTGAGTTTAGACAGGACTGGTGCTGTGCATGGTGTAAGCTGGGCAGTTTGGGTCAGGAAGCAGACCTGGGGTGACTGTACCATTGCCAGCACAAGGGCAGAATGGTAGGAGGGCAGTTGGGTGGCCTAAGTCTGGTGATGACTGTAGCTCAGAGAAGGCTGAGAGCAGTGGGGAGGCTGGGCCAGACACTGGGGGAAGGCTCCAGTGGTAGCAAAGGTATGTTTGTACAGATGGACTTGGAAGAGGAAAGTGCTGGAGTTGGGAAGACAGTGGAGAAATGATTCATACAACAGTTGGTTGTATGAATGTATGTATGTCTGTTGGCTTTTCAAGTCCTGCCTCGTCTCTTTAGTCTGTGCAATCCCTGGCATCTTGCTGGTGCTTTTCATCTAGAGATCTCTGAGATGAGTACAATCATCACCCCCAAGCAGGAGACTGGAAAAATTCAGGTGCAGAGCAGGTGGAGGTGAGAGTTGGGCTTACAGCAAGACCAGCTGTCCCATGGGGTTGTGCTTAGCTGCTGCCCCACACTGCACTGCTGTGACTGTGTCTGCTCTGAAGAACCACAGCGCTATTGACACCAAGTTCAAGGCCATGGCTGAGATAAACTGTACTGGTAGGCTCAGGGCTTTCTTCTGCTGTCTGGGGTCTGTGTTGGAAAGTGCTCTCTGCTCGTGGATTCTTATGGACAAGGCAGGAAAAAGCCTTGGGCTCCTGCTGTGAGGGCAGTGCCAAACTATGGGAAATGCCAGGAGGCATTGGTCTCCTTTTCCCAGAGGATTTTGACAGCAACATGTCTGGTTTGGAGAACCTGTCTGTCCAGTATTGCTTTCATTGTATTCAGTGGCTGGACGGTTCATCTATCACACCTATCAAAATGGTACCTCAGCACTTCTGAGGAGTGCCTGAGGTGAGGTGATTGCTATTCCATGTGGACTGCTTGTTCTCACAACCTCTCCAGTGGGAAGAGTGCATATCTTAGAGTGCTTTGCTTTGTACTTTATTACCCATGTAGGCTAATGAGGGTAGGGCAGGTGACAGAGAGGTTTGAGGTTATGTGGTTGCTCCTGAGCAGTTCTTCCCACAGTCCCAGAGGGACCCAGGAAAGTCCCAGCTCTTACACAGGGGTACTCTGTGCCAGGGAGCTCAGCCATGGCTCTCCTGGCTTACTTCACTGTCCTGCCTAACATTCGCTTTTCTGAACTCTTTGGAAATGATTATTTCTCTCTTTCTCCCTTCTCAGTCCATAGGAGGTAGAAAGAAAGAGCTTGAGCAGTGGGAGATGGTGAGATCATGAGGAGGGGTTGCTGAGGCTGCCAGTGTGCCAGTTTCAGGTTATGCCAATTTGAGTGAGAAGTCATCCTACAGCAACTCCTTCTGTATGGGTATGCTCAAGGATGAGGGGGCCTGGGCAGGGTCAGATGGAGAAAGAGGAGGGGCTTTTGGGAAGCTCCTAGTGAAAGAAAGGCCAGCTTGGCAGTGGTTTCTCCATCCTTCCTCTTACCCCAGCAAAGTTTTTCCCTGCTCAACGGCCTTCCAAAAGCCACAGACTTCTGCGCTGCCATTTCCCCTGGCCTCCTCAGGAAGGGACCATGGAGAGGAGGCATCATTCCCAGCTCTCCTCAAGGGTGTTTGCTGTTTGGCAGAGCAAAAGGGGCAGTCCTCTATCCCCAAAGATGAGCCCCTTTGAGTTGGTTCTAGAGGACCCAATCTCTCTGTGGCAGCAGATGTGGGATTGATTGAAGAAGACCATTTGCTTGGTGGTGTTAGCTGTAGGAAACTAAATGGAAATGCTCCAACATGCTTTTTAATTCCAAATGTGTGGTAGGATTTATGACAACTAATGCAGGAACCATAGGAGAGTCTCAGAGCAAATCAAGTTCCCAGGCTCTGGTGGGTCTGTGGTGATGCCTCAGGCAGCAAGCCACATTCTCACCAGGGCTGTGACTTATAAATGAAATATGTCAGCAGTGCAGGACAGATCCAGGGCTAGTTCAGCTTCTGCTGCGTTATTCATGAGTATGTGAAAGCTCTGAAAAATGTGACAGACTTTGGGTTAGGTTCTCAACACAACATTACTCCTCGTGAGATGAAATATGAGCGTGTCTCTCCTAAGACAGGAATATATATGCTGGAAGCTGTGGGATAATGGCATATCTAAAGGCAAAGTGAAGTCTTTGGTGTTCTGCTGCTAGTGGGTTTGTTTTCATTTTCCTCCCAACAGGAATACTTGCTAGCGGTCTGCAAGCACTCACAACCATGGCAGTGTGGTTCAAGTCAGTTTGAAAATATTTTGCCCCAGAATTGCTTTTGCGTGAGGTTTTGCAAGGTCTCTCCTTGTGAGTGCAGAGGATTAGGAGCCCCTGCATGGCTTCTGAAGAGGTCACACTGCCAACCTGGAGTCTCCTTTTTGCCAAAGTGAGCACCCAACAAAGAGGTTAACTGAAAATTTAGCTTGTGTTCCCTTTGTAATCACTGTGCTCAGCCCTCTCAGGTAATGATCCACAGGGACTCAGCATCACTCCTAAATCCCTAAAGCATTTTGGCCTTGTAACTGTGGGTGGCTGTGGGACCCTCAGGGTGGGATGAGGAGTAAGGGGAAAGGCAGGGATGCTCAGAGGCCCTGAGGGTTGTGTGTGCCTAGGAAAAGGCAGCATGGCAGGGCCTTAAGTTCTCTTACTTACTCATGAACCTCTGTACTTTCCTAATGAAAAAGGACTTGGTCCTGTCTTCTGAGAAATAACTGAGCATTTCCTTGGCTTCCGTGAGAGCAGGTCTGGGAGTGAAGTTTATATAAAGGGAACTGCTGTGCACATGGGTATTTTGTCCACCTGGGCTTACGTTGGTATATAAATCAGTAATTGCTTTGTATTAAAGGCATATGAGGGTCCTGAGCTTTGGATCCAGCCTTTCCCACATCCTCGTGTCCTTAGCAATTGGCCTCTGCTTTTAATGCTCCATTCACAAACCCAAGGTTGTGGGTTCGATCCCTGTATGGGACTTGATGATCCTTTGTGTCCCTTCCAACTCAGAATATTCTGTGATTCTGTGACATGTCTGGAACAGTACTTTGGCAAGGGACAAACAAAGCCCAGATCTGCACCAGGCTGTCCCAGCCCTGCGTATGCTGGGAGAGATGTGGTGTATCTTGTGACTGTTTCTGGCAAACAAGTCTGTCTGGCCATGCCTGAGCTGAGGAATCTTGTCTGGGTGCTTGTGTTGGCCGTTTTCAGTCCTGAAACACCTGGGTGTGCAGCATCCCTGTTGTCTGTGCCTCCAAACCCCTGTGCCTTAGGCCTGTAGTCCCAGGTGAGAATGGTGGAGCAGCCTTGAAGGTGCCTCATCTGGGTGCTGGGGGACCGATCCCTGGGCTGTGCTGTGGCACCTCAGGCAGCCAAGAGACACAGCCATTGGCACCTGCTGCAGATGTGCAAATAGCATCTGTCTGGGTTCTGCTGCTGTGTCCAGAACTGTGTGATGGGGCAGCTTCAAACAGCAGCTTACAAGGACAGTGCTCTCTACTCCTCACTAGCCAGCTGGCTGGAGCAGCTGCTCTATTCCATCTTTTTGGGAGAAGATGGTAGCAGCTGCCAATTCTTAGGTTGTCAGTGGAGAGGTGCCCACATTGGAGAGCGAGATATTATTGCTCTTGTACAATCCCAGTTTCGATAAAACCGGGTGGGTTTGAGGTGAATATGGAGTTCCCTTGTCAAGTAAGGAGGAGCTGAAATTCATGTGTTTGAAGTGCTATGAGTAATCCTCTGCCTTTCTGAAGAAACTTTTTTTTTCCTGAAAAACTAGTGACTTGCAATGGATTCCCGCAGCACTAGTTGGATACGTGACAAGGAGATCATATAAAAGGTCACCCTTGGTTTGAAATGAAGGCAGTGAAAAATGAGTGTCTTGTACTAAAACTGTTACTGGAGATTGTTGGCCAAGTATTGCAGTCTCACTTTTCTATTTTTAAAACTCTCTCACCAGCTGTGATGTGACCCTTCCCTCCACACCCACAACAGAAAAAAGCCCTTACTGATTAGAAACAGGAAATAATAAAACTCACTAACCACAAAGTATTTTCAGACACAAAATAAACAAGCAGAGATGGTGAGAAGTAGATATTTCCCACTGATCTCTTTTCAGCACGGTAACCATAGCTGATAATTATAGTCACTGGGGATTTACAGCTTTTAGAGGGAATGTATGATTTTAAGTTGATGCTGTCAAACTGTAGTAAAATATTTTCATCACAGCCTCTCCCAGCATAACAATAAGGTGGCCACAAGTGTCATGAGGTGCATTATTGACACCATCTAGAAGTAAAAGAACACTTCAGGTCTGATCCTGGGCAGGGAGCTGCTCCTGTTGTTGGTCCCACTGGTGTTCAATGGAGCTTCCTCTAGTGAGTACAGCTGTGGGGGATTTTATGGGGTGGGATTTTTATCTAAACTCAGCAACATGTATGATAATAAACCGGTAAGGTCTTTAATGTCTCTTCTCTTCCAGGATTTTGTGGTTTGCTTTGCCTGATAGTTTTCTCCACCTATGAGTGTTCTGTGCCCTTTGCTGCAGTGGTTTGCTTGGGGTGGCCCCAGCTCCCAACCCTCTGGATCTTTGCAGTGGGATATTGTGTATTTTCGACATTGGTGGTCATTCTGGAGGTTCCCGTCAGCAAAGGGGGAAGTCCTAATTTTCAGGCCGAGGATAGAAACTGAGGTTGAGGTAAGATCTGTACAATTCTATGCCTTTACCTGACTTCTGACCCCATGGTCGAAGAAACCCGCCTTGCCTCCTTGCAGCCATGTGTAGGCCAGTTGTTTCTCCTACCACCCTTATGCCACTGCTCCTAATGGCTCTTCAAGAGGGCTGGATAAAAAGGAAAGCTTCACAGAAAAAGATGCTAAACCCAGAGGTGCTGGTTTTCACTCCTTAGGCACCTCATCAAATAGATCTCGCTGCATAATGAGCCCCTCTGAACTGCGGGTCCATTCATTAATATGCGTGGTGTTTGTTTAAGAGCTCCCTGCTCTTTTATTTTAACTGCGAGGAACTTTTAACTGCCTTTGAGATGAAAAACAGGGACCAAATGTTGCCAGCAAGCGAGCAGATTTGTCCCAGTCTTCTTGGTCCAATTTGCAGGAAATTTTACCTTCTGCCCTTTAGAGGATCTTTGTGATTCACTTATAAGTAAAAGCTGAAGCATTGATCCAGGCTGATAAACCCAGCTCCCCACTTCTTTCAGAATTTTTAAATTGTTGCTGTGATCCAGGTAATGCTGTCTGTGTGTGTGGTGCACTCTGCTTTCCTATAAAGCATCAGGAGCAAAACCCAAACCAGCTCTTTCAACTGCATTAAGGAAAAACTATTTGTGAAAGAAGAAAACAAAAGCAGATGCTTGAGTACTGTTTATTCAGAGCATAAAGGACAAGGCTGGGAAAAGTATCAGTCATGATCTTCCAAAAGTTTATTTAGAACTTTTAGTTAAGGAAACAAAAAAAAAATCCCTAAATATAACTATAAGTTACATATATATACATATACTAACACATAGATCACTAGTTTAAGAGCAATGTCAGGATGTCCAGGTGGCTGGGAACAACACAGCCAGAGTGAGCAACCCAGAGAGCATTTCTAAACAGCCTCGAAAGTCCACACCAAGTCTCTCCCTTTCTCTCTTTTTTTTTTTTTTTTTTCCTAACCACTGCAGCATTTTTACAGGAATTGACACTGGAATCTCCTACAGCTGTACAGGGGTAATAAAAAAATAAAAAGCCAAAGAGATCAGCTGTTTACCCCTTTATCCAACAAAGTTATCTCAGTGGTTTATGTGAGATCTGAGAGGTAACTGATGCCAGAAAGGGCCATTGCCTGTTGTTTTGTATTTTTATTAATAGGAAGTTAATTATTTTAGAACATAAGACAAGAAAACTATATAATTAATATAAGCTAAAGAGCATAAGAGGGTTCTATACAATAATTTAGATGTATTAAATAAATAAAAAATAATAGCAGCCTTCTACAATGCAGGCTACACATAGGTTTACTTCGGCTTGAAGTACCCTGGTCTTTAGTACACCTACAGGAACAGACTTGCTCCACAAGTGTTTTAAAGAAACATATCTATAAGATACATACGTAAGAGTGTCTAAGGTTAGGATAAAAATTGAAAACACACTTTACCATGGTCTCCACATATCTAATGACCCCATTCTAGGGTTGTTATGGGAAAAATTTGGCTGCAGAACCTGTCTGGGAGGCGCAGCATCAACCTGGTTGAAAACCGACAGCAACGGCACCTGGAAGGAATTTTTGGAAGCCTGCTTGTTCTCTGCAGAGTAGAAGCGCTCCTGTGCCAGGTTTGTGCCCCGATTGCTCCCCTTAGGGCTCAGGGGACCTTTTGGCGTCAAGAGAGGCTGTTGAGATGGGCTGGAAGACCTCAGTGCTGCTTTGCAGGTATCTTCACCAGACCTGGGCAAGGATTTCAGCAGGTGGTTTAGTAGGCGCGCCCCAAGGCTCTTGTCCATCCACTCACAGGTGAGAAGGAGGTTGTGCACCTCGTGCATGCACTGAATGTACCCAGTGCTGTACCTCTGCTGGGCTTCCAGACCCACTTTGGAGTCAGCTGCATTGGTGAGGAGACAAAGGGGAGTTGGTGAGAGGGTAAGAGCTGACTGGTGTGTTCCTGCTGGGAAACCTTCACCAGGTTTCCTGGGGGGCTCACTCTGAAGCCTCTGGACTTTCCTAGAAGATGCCTCGTTTGTAGGGAGAAGGTGAGCAGGGTGTGAGCCCTGGTGCTCTGCTGCCTACTGCAGAGGCAAAACTACGCCAAAAAGCAGAAATAGGCTTGGGAAGGAAATAACACCTTGCCCGAATTAACCAGTGCCCAGCTCCATCTCCCCATCTAGTGGAGAAAGCCGAACCCAGGCAGCAGCCCGGGCCTCGGCTGGTTTGGATGATGCTTTTGCCAGTCTGGCAGGGGATCAAACCTGCTGCCACCCTCCTGCCCAGCACGAGCACTCACCCATCATCTTGCTGCTCTGGATGTTCTGGAGGTGCTTCACTGTCATTTCAAGGATGTCTGCTTTTTCCAGTTTAGACTGCTGATAAGGAAGGAGAGCAGCAGTTAGAGGGAATGAAGGGTTTGCACCATGCCCAGTTTCTCAAAAAATGAGAACAACCCCACCCCTCAGATTTCCCACCAACAAAAGAACAAAAAGCAGCATAAAAATGAGCACTTACATCCAGGTGAAATGCTCCCACAACTGTCTCCTTCAGCTGGTCTAAGCAGTTATTAATCCTTTCCCTTCGCTTCCGCTCAATGAGGGGTTTCCTTAACTGGCAAAGAAAAGGAGCAGGAAAATTGCAGTTGGTATTTTTTTTCTTCCCCTCCCTGCTGCAGTTCAGTGAGGTCAGAGAGTCCCATCCCCTGTGCGAAGCCAGTGTGGGGTGGCACAGGGCTCAGCAGGAACAAGATGAAGATGGATGTGTACCATCTTCAGCCACGGCCTGTCCCTTAGATGGCATCAGCCCTCAATTCTCCCACCTCCACTCATTTTATGCAGGGTTCACCCAAACAAAACAGAGAGAAGCAGAGAAAGGGAGCGGGGAAAAAAACCACCCATGTGGGTTAATTTCAGAGAAAACATCTTTATAATATGAGGAAAATCACTGTCCCCCTTTTCTTTCCTGGAAGCAGTGCCCATAGCCCCAGCACCCATCATTCACACGCCTGGTGCAGCGCAGAGGGCACGTACCTTCCTCTCCTCCTTGGTGCTGGCGAGCTTGTGGGTGCTGCCCGGGGTGGCTGTTGCGGTCATTCTAATCCAGGCACGGGATGGGAAGGAGGCACTCGGGCAGTGGGTCGCTCCGTTTCCAGTTGGGCTCTTTGCTGCTCCGCCGCTCCTCTGCTGTATTTATAACCCCGAATTAGCATGTGAAAGGGAGCTGTCCTTGGCGGGACTACTTTTCCCACACGAGGGGTCGAGCCCGGAGGTTTGTGGCCATCAATCAAAGCTGACAGGTCACTGCTTCTTTTCAATGAGCACGCCAGCCCCCCCAAACGGCGACAGATGTCCGGCCTCCGACGCTGGGCTTTGGAGGGATCTTTTGTTAGGGAAGAAGGGAAGGAAAATGGGCGCGCTCTGAGCAGCTTGCGCGGCTCCTCGTTCAATTTGCACAGATTCCCAGGGAGGGAAACAATAGCCGGGAAGCGGTTGAGTTACACCTGGGAAAATGCCTTCTACTCATCTTTTTCCCCTCTATTTCCTTGAAGTGATGCCTGGTTTCACTTACTAACCTGACCCCAGCCATTTCACATCTTTGAAACAGCCTCTTAATTTAATAATAGAGTACTTCAGCTAGGAGTTCCCGCTCCCAGGGATTATTATTACAAGGAAACGATGATCGATTAAAAACTGTTGACAGCTGGTTGTTTCCATCACAGAAATCCTCTAGGGCAAACATGGGAACATTATTTACCTCTTGGGAACCTGAGTTCTCTGTCGCACAGGGGCGGACGTAGAAAATATGTAACTCTTCCAGTTTTTGGCTGCCGTGTAGAATTTAATATTAAACTGACAGGCTATTGCAGATGCAAACTAACCTAGAGGTGAGTTAGTCCTGTGGGATTTTTACTTTGATTTCCCCCCTGCCATGCTGAAGGGGGCTTGTCTGTTCACTCCTCTGGAATGCTGGTGTGGGAGCAGAGAAGCCTTTGGAGGAGTCTTGGTGCGGAGTGAGAATGCACTTCTATACTTCCTCACTTCTGCCTGGTGTGGGGGAGAGTATGAAGGTGTTTTTCATGACCGTGCATTTGCCTTCTGACGTTTGCTTTGCTAATGAGCAGGATTTGGCAGTGTCCTGTTGGGTCCTGCAGGTGAAGCCCTTTGGATTGGTGTCGAATGTGTCACCTTACTGAAGTGGAGAGGAAGGGGCCACAGTGGCTCAGAGGCACTGTCAGCCCTCCCAACTCACTGGTGGGATTTTCCAGCTCCCACTGTAGTGCTGTGGCTGCAGAGCCCACTCCACTCAAGGCGAGGGTGGGATATACCCTAGTGATAAAAGTGAGGACTTCATGTCCCTTGCTTAACCACAGCGTGGGTGGGTGTGTGTTTGCTTGTGAGTAAATGCAAACATGCAGCATGTCTGCACACCCCGCTGCCTGGGCTCATCATGAAAACATGTCCCTGGACATGGAATCTGGCAGGCAGAGGCTGTTTGTCAGTCAGATACAGAGCTGGGGTGCAGCTACCTGGTTTTATAAGCGCACTATTTGGCAGAGGCCTGGGATGAGCTGGTGTGGTTGTTGTGCTGGGAGAGGAGGGCTGGGAGGGTGAGGTTAATAACTTGTCCTTTGTGCCAGGTAAAGGGAGCAGGGATGGGCCCATTATCTCAGGTGTGTCCTCTGCAAAGACAGCGAAAGGAGGTCCCACTGCCCTGTGTTGGAGTCTCTCACATCAGCCAGCCCCAGCTGATCACCAGTGAAGACTCTTTTGGTTTTCCAAGATTTTTCCAGCCCACTTGGGAAGTGAATTGTTGCTGGTATTTATAGAAGGTGTAGCTGAGGCATCCATGACTCCAGCACCTTGGTATGGAGGAGGCAGTGGGTGGGCTGGAGTACAGGAAGGTTGGGCAGTTTCCTAGGGTGCTCCAGGCTGGAAGCATGTCACCTGGGAACACAGCTTCTGGCTGGGTTTGGCTCAAATAGTGGGTAAGGAAGAGAAGTCCACCATCTGCCCCCAGGCCAGACACCCCTCCACCAGCACCTTGTGCAGAAAAAGGCACCTTACCAAGGCAGTCAGGGCAGCAGGGGGAAGCCTGAGACCACCTTGGCTCGTGGCCCAACTGAGCATGGCAGAGGTGTCAGGAAATGCAGAATTACCTAAAAATTCCTAAAAGCGTGTCCTGTGCCTGTTGGCACCCCTCCTTGGGTGGGCATGGCTATAGGGCGCTGTGTGTGCCTCCCATGTTAGTGGTCCCAGAGTCTGGCCAGCCCCCAGTGCCACCAGGAAAGGTGTCTCCAGTCTGTAGTGGTGGGACCTTGTTCCTCGCTCTCCCTTCCCTACTTGGCCTTCACTTGCTGCTTCTGCTTCACCTTCCCTTCTGCTTCCTTTATCCTGTGAGCTGCTGCCAAGGTCTGGGGTGAGTGGGATGCTCCACGAGACCATGGTGCAAGCTGGTGGCAAGGTTTTGGGTCCAGGGGACAGCTGGGTGGGAGGGGAGGCCACGAGCAGTGCAGTGGCCCCCGGTGCCCAGCCACAGCCTGTACCCAGCCCACTCAGGGTGAGCCCCTTTGCTTGCCCACGGGCATCTGCTCTGTGTGAGCTCATTTCAAGGTTCATTTGTAAGACAGCACCACAGTGAAAAAGAAGAACAGCTTGTGCTGTAAACAGTTATTTTACACCTCTCAGTCACTGCAAAAGCCTTTATTTCAGAGGTGGGGAGTGCGGGTGGGAGAGCTGCCCTGGCTTGGGGGAAGGCCGACATCTGTGCTGGGGATTGTAGGTACCCAACAGGCCAATGCAAATGAGCATTACAGGGAGCTTACTGCAAATTCCTGCTTTCCCTTTGCACTGCCACTGCCAGGTTTCACTGAAAAGGGGATTCTCCTTTGTAAACAAAGCCTCCCTTTTTTTTCCTGGGCTCTCCAAGAAAAAAAAAAAAAAAGGAAAGAGAAAGGGGTGAGTGCTGCTTAGAGTTTTCTTTTTTGCTATTTTTCTACGTTTCACACCCCGGAGAAAGAAAACAACTTTTAACATCTGTTCCTGCACTTTTTAAGAGGGAAAGAAAGGCTCTTGAAAAGGGGGAAAGTGTGGCAGATGTTGGCAGGTTCCCTCCAACGCAGATGTCTTGCTCTGAAGAAAACTTTCTTTGGGGATTGGCGGCCAGGGCTAATCTTTGACTCGGGACACGCGACTGCTGAGCGAATGGAGGGACGTGGGAAAGCGCCGCCGAACAAAGGGGCTTATTCAAACAAACCTGAGAGCCGTGAACAATCTAATAACCAGCAGAGAAATGGTCAGCGGCCCCGGCCCCAACAGGGAGGGCTTCGGGGCAGCCGGTGGCCACAGGACAAGGGAATTTGACCGTGTCCCCAGGGCTGCAAGCAGGGGTGTCTCTTCCTTGCCCCCAGTCTGCTCCCTCTGGGGCATCCAAGGCAGTGCTTTGGCCGAGGACAATCGTTCTCGAGGTGCTGAATGGTCTTGGCTGCCCCACGGTGACAGTAGAGGAGATGGAGGGCAGGTGGGCTGGGCTGGGCTGCCCCACACACACCAGCCAAGGCAGCATGAGAGGAGTGACTGTTGGACAGCAGGGATGTCTTTGGTTAAGCTTTTAAAAAAGAGGTTCTGCCAAGATAGTAATAATAATAAAAAACCCCAGTCCTACTGATTAGGACCGGTTGAAGGAGGCCTGTGAAACTGATTTTGGTAGGAAAAAAAAAGTGTTTATTTTAATTGTAAGCAAAAATTTTGAGAGAAAAAGGTATTTTCTGTAAGCCTTTCAATCTCTTTCTTTCTGACCGATAATACATTTTAAAATAAGTTTTTGCCATGAAAGCTGGTAATATTTCAGCTTAAGCACTTCATAGGAAAAAAGGGAGAAGCCCAGAGAGAAGGGAGCAGAGCCAAGAGGATTCACACAAGAAAGTAACTCATTCCAGTTTGCTGTTACAGCTGAAGAGCTCTCTAGATCATTCCTCTAATTCCTTCAAGTTTCGTTCTGCCTCATCTCTGTCCTGGTCCATTTTCTCTGGGCTCTGGTCAGGGCACAGCCTTTCCTGCCAGCAAGGCTGCCTTGTGCTGGGACAGCTCTGCCTCTTCCCTGCTCAGGGCTGGAGGGGAAAGCTCGGTGAGATGGAGCTGTGTTGCTCCTTTGGAGGTCAAGCCCTGGGGCAAGCAGCCCAAAATGCTGCTGTGAGTGTCCCCTGTGTTTCTCCTGACAGCAGAGTCCTCCCTGCATGGCAGCTGGAAAGCAGGAGCCATCTCAGCTGGACTGAGGAGCCCCATGCTGCAGGAAGGATACTGCATGTCCCCAGAGACACGAGCACCTGTCCAGGCTGGTTCCTCCTGCCTCTCACAGTTTGGGGTGATGCTGTGGACACCAACTCACAACCTGACAGGACTAAACAGGGGGCCTGTGCAGCACTGGGGCAGACCCAAGTCCAACCTAGGCCCTAGATGGTTAATGAGTGGCCTTGTTAACACAGAGGAGCATTTTGCTGGGATGGATTTGCTGTGGGAGAGGGGGAGGAGAGCTGAGCAGGTGCTCCTGAGCACTGCTTAATCTGCTGCATGTGTGGGTCATAGCAGGACCACTTGATCCCCTCTTCTTTCCAAGCTGGGGAGCATCCAGGCTGGATTTGCCTGTAGTTAAGTGACTGCTTGTCCCTCCTCTGAGATGTCTGCTGGCTGGGTGTGGGGGCATGGGTGCCTAGCCTTGGGAGTGCTGGTGAGCAGGTGTCACAGGGATGGACAGGGTGCTCCAGGAGTCCTGCCCCATCCAGCACTTGCAGCTGGATGGGTCTGTGGGTTTGCTGGGGCTGGTTTTATGACAGCAGCTCTGTTTTCAGCACGTGCAGTGACGTGAGGTTTGTGGAGCGAGGAGCAAAGTGTGGGTTTGGGAGCAGGCAGGGTAAGGTGGGGGCAGCTGCTTGCTGCCAGCATGGGGAGTGGGTTGGCCCTGATGTGAAACCACAGGGCACCCTGTACACCTTGCATTCCCTCCCTCGGGTCAAGCTCCAGACCCGCCTTGCTGTGAGCAAACACTCTCTGAGGAGAGGCTGTTTTACAGGGGCTTTAGTCATTCTGAATAAAGAGGGTTTTGTCCAGCTTTTTTCAGAAGGTCAGTTGTGGCTCAAGGTTGAGGTTTAAAAATGAGGGGTAAAGCTCTCCTTCAAAATGTTTAAATCTGGATGCTTCTCAATAGCTGTAAATCCCAAGAACCCCGTCCTGAAGCCCTGCGTCACCAGGGGTGTTTTGCTACCCAAATGTTACAGCAGGAGAGGAATGTGAGAGCAGCAGGACGTGCCGGCGTGGTGACTGGATGTGCCGGGTCTGGAGGGTGCAGGAGTGCCTGGGCGGGCAGGCTGGCTCCCGGCACAGAGGCACCTCAGCCACAGTCTCTTGGGGATTACTCACTGCTGGATGGCCCGAGGGCACTGGGGCTACACCTCCAGACTGGCCTCAGTTTGGGACATTGTACCTGCCGTGTCCCACCTCAGACCCACCTGTAGCAGGGTCTGCAGGGGGACCATGTGTCCTGCAGCCTGGCCAGGATGGATAGAGCTGGAAAAAAGCTGGAGCAAAAAAGCAGGGGATGATTTATTTGTGCTTGGGGCGTGGAGAAGAGCACTTGCAGTCATTTCCTGTGTTAAGGAGAATGGGCTGAGGGCACAGCCTTGATGAACAGACGCCACCCACAGTGGGACATGGGGCCAAGGGCACCATCAGAGCTTGCAGTGAGGGGAGCTATGGCTATGCTGGGGAAGGCTGCTCCAAAGACCTGTGTTGGAATCCTTGGAGCTGGAGTGACACTGTCTGCACCAGGTCGCTGTTTCTGGCAGAGGGCTGGGAAGTGATGGGGTTTGTGGCTGAGTGAGTGGGGAAGAGGCACGGGGGATCTGGCAGATGAGTTTGATGTCTATGGTAAGTGGTGGCCTATCAAGGCAATATCGTGTGCAATATCCTGTGCAATTCACCATGGTGTAGGCAGGGGTAGGAGTGCAGTTGAAGGTTCACCTGCTCCAAAGACATTTGGTGGAGAGAGAGAGAGAGAGAGGTCATATATGGCATTGGACAGTGCTACATGCAGTATTTTCATCATAGAGAAAATCCAGCTCCAAAAGTAGCACTGGACACCCGGAAATTCTGTTGACATCTCTCACCTCCTTTACCAAGTACACCAAATCTCCCTGGCCCCAGCTCAGCCTCCTGGGTACCAGTTGACTCTACCATCTTCAGGAGTGAACTCCTGGGATAGGAAATAATTACAAGGCTGGTACCAGCTGAGTAATTCTCAGCTTTTCTTTCACACACCCCCATCCAGCCTTCGTGTTAAGGATTAGCTGACGCTCCTGCCATTGCTCAAGGTGTCTCTCACCTGGCAGGTTAGCAGCTGGTAAGCTCCACAGCCCCACAGGAAGTCTTATCTGCTGCTTTGCAGCCAGAAAGCTGTAGCTTGAAATACAGCTCATGGCGCAAAAGAGTCCTATAGGAAGAAGAAAATCTGATAAGCTGTGTGGCTGGTGACAGACTGATAAGGGTTATCCCCTTGCCTGTGCCAAAGTGGTGGTAGGAGGAAGAAGAGCCAAACTTCACAAAGATGGCACAGGGGGCTTTCAGGGAGTGTTCAGGGGGATACTTGAACTTTCCTTATGTGGCATCCCAGGAGTTACTTCATTCAGGAGGGCAGCCCTGGGCATTCTCATACTCTCTGTGTGTGAGATGTTACCAGATGTCACCTGAGAATGAGCCTGATCTATAATGTAGAAAATTCTTGGTTTATTCAGCAAGATTTGCTTTCACAACAAGATGGGTGCCTAACTCCCCAAACATCAGGACCTGGGGCTCAGCATCCTGCACCCCACCCCCTACACATCCCGTTCTGCAACCCCTGCACATCCCACACAGCCTGTTTCTTCTTAGCTTCTCAGTTCTCGAGGCCACAGAATTATCTAAGTTTCACCTCTGTGAGAAAAATATCTCTTCTGTGGATAAATGCAGCTTTTGTCCTGGCTCGGCCATGCACCAACACTTCCTTTTTATAGTATGTGTGTATACGTGTACTGACACCACATCCTGACCCCCTGACACAAAATACCTTGTCAGCATGAATGAGGCAGCAAAGCCAGTCATCATCCATGCTCTGCAGGGAGGGTGATCTGCAGCCCTCCTGCCCATGTGCTGTTCTGGGCCTTGCCTGGGTGGGTGCCTGGGCTGCTGCTGCAGGGGCAGCAGGACAGCCCATGGGGGCACCAGGCTTACCAGAAGCGTTTCCTACCAGCTGCCTGTTTCTGGTGCTGCAGGGCTGGGATTGCAGCACCTGAGGAAGTGGGGAAACACACACTTGGGTGGTTTTTTGCACTTGCTGGTTCAGTCTCAGCACAGCCCAGCTGCTGCCGTGACAGTGGAAAACACGAGGGTTTAGGAGGGGAGAGCATGAACCTCAGAGTCTCTGGTTCTTTGAGCCAAGACCATCCTGGGTTGTTTGTAAAATCTCATGTTGTTCTCTAAGCTGTTTTTTTGCATCTGTATTTTTGTAACTAATTTTTTACCAATTAAAGCAAAAAGTTTTATACTGCTTTTTTGTTTACAAATACTGTCTGGTTTAAACTGTCTCTCCTCTTTAATTTCTTTACTTTTTTCCCCTCTTCAAATGTATCTAGGAGACTGCCTTTTATTACAGGGATGAGCATTTCTTCTGGAGGAACCAAAAGGTGTAGGAAGTCCAGGGACATAATCACTTGTGGGTAGTAAAACCAGGGCCCTGACAGGATGAAGAACAGCCAGGACCTGTGAGAAGGTGGGTGACACTCCATAGGCCGGGATCTGGGAAGAGGAAAAGCAGTTTTGGCTTCTCCATAATGAGGCACATAAAAATACTAACAAACCCCCCGCTATCACAATCCTTTTTTTCTTTCTTGTCTATTTTTGGGGTTGCTCTGTCAAAAAAAACAAGAGGCCATGGCACACATGAGCTCCCTAATTTTCCAGAATAATACCTGCGACCAGCTGGGTGTCTTCTTGTGTTTCCAAGGTGATGTTTCTTCCATCTCCTCATTCCAGGTACATATATGTGCACATGTGCAGACAGCGATACAACTTCACACTTGCACACGGACAATTTTCACGAGATACAATTTTGCCATAGAATGTAACTAAACTCTCTTTTGAAGGTGTGTCCTGCTGAGCTGGGGGGAAGGAGCTCAGCCCTTCCCCAAAGCAGCGCCTGATTGAAGGTGGGGACAGGCAGAGAGCTCTGGAGTGCCCTCCTCCTCAGGAGCCGGGGATCTCATCAGGAGAAGGAGAGGCCCCGAAAAGCTTTGGAGGGTCTGTATGTATTTGCTGGAGTGGCTCAACACAGTTTTGAGTGTCAAGAGATGTGACAACGGCTCCTGTGTTATAACTCAGCCCCCCAGCGGTTGAGCCCCAGTCCAGCTGAACAGCAGCACTAAGCCCATGCCCTCCACTGCAGCACGTTTCTGCTGGAAGAGCTAATTAATTAATTTCTGCAAAGCCCCTTGAAGGGGTAAAGGGCTAAGTAAGTGCATAGCAGCGTTATTCAGAGGGTATGAGCTTCAGGGCTTAACGGGCGCTACTTAAATATGAACTGAGTGAGTAACCTTGGTTTGTAATTTCTTTATAATGTAAAAGAATGGGGAAAGCATCTAAAAAAACACAAACACCACCAGTCATTTTCAGCAGTGTTCACAGCCTTGTATCTTTCTGCATGATTTGGGATTTGTAGTGTATTTGCTTCCAGTTCTATCAAATTAATGGATGTATTTATTTGACTGGGGGTTTTTTTTGTTTGGGTTTTTTTGGTTTGTTTTTTTTTTTAGCTCAGGAAATATTTTCTACTACAGTGCTGTTTTTCAGGGTGACTTCTGTTAATTCCTTTCATGTTTACCATGCTGATGGAAACCTGGTTTTGACATTAGTAGGAGATTCTCCCTAGAATGGATGCTGCGCTTTGTAGACAACTTTCAATTGTTCCACACTTATAAAAACTTTATTAAAAGGACTTGCTCTCCAGGAAAGGAATTTGCATTGGATTTTTTCCTATGATTCTTCTGGCAATTGTTTTTGTTTTCTGACAATCTTTACATGCTACCCTTAGTTCTTGTGATTCGCAATAAAATTTTTAAAATGTGCTCTAATTCTGAAATGGCACCTTGAATTGAGGATAAATCATAACATCCGTGTAAGAAAAAAAACTCCAACTGATATGGGAGACAATCACATTTATTTGTGTTTTCTACTGTAAATAGGATTTGGAGGCAGGGCAGGTGAGTCTGTTCATTTTGTATTAACTGAATGAACTGAAAGGTAACAAAATACTTCTTTGAGAAAAGCTTCAAGAGACTGCAGTGAACACCTCCAGGTAGTAATGGGTGAAACACAGTTTCAGGGGCAGTCACAGGCACTTTTGTAACCTGGTGATGAAATTCAGCCACTGTAGCTTGGTCCAAAGTCCATGGAAAGACTCAGGACTCTTGTTCTGCCAGACTTGAAGTAGAAGACATTCAGCATAACCACAGTTGTCTCTGCTCCTAATATTTCCTCCCCAAAGCCTTTTCCCTGAAACACTTTGGCAGGAACAAGGAGCCTGGGCTCTGGCCTGTGAATCACACCAGTGCATGCCTATGCCCAGTTAAAACATTAACTGGATGTTGGTTCTCTTCTTTCCTCCTTGTGTGTTTGTCCAGACAGCTGACAAGACAACCCAGATTATTTTCTCAGATGATCTGTGTCGTGCCTTTTCAGATGGCCATGTAGGTGACAGAGGAGCACCTCTATCCCATTGCATGGTGAGGGGGGACCTTCTGCCACAGCAGGATATTGGGGAGAGGAGGAAACACCCTTCAAAGGGAAAGGGCACGTGTGTCCTACTGAATTACAACTCTGGAAAAGAGGAAGGATAAACCAGGCGATGAATTACTGGGCCTCATGGAGAGCCAAGGGCAGCCAGCCCTGGAGAGTCAGCTGCTGCCACAGCATTCCATGTGGGCACAGCCACTCTGCGGGAGGTACAGTCCAAAGGAAGAAAAGAGGTGAGCAAAACAGAGCTGCTTGAAGGAGGATTAATTTCGCAGGCTGACATTGGTTTTCCCCACTTTTGCCATTTGTTGGCGTGGGATGGTGATGAGAGGAGCTGGAGCTGAGCTGCAGGGCTCCTTGGGCCTCCCATCAGCAGCAGAAAGCCCCAGGATCCCATTAGGCTCTCTGTCCCTCCTGAGGAAAGGACCTGCATGCTCGCCTTTCTAACTGTGTTTTTTTCCCAGTGAAGTAACCTGGATTTTTTTAAAAGATTTTTTCCCCGTGTTTACTCACTTCCTAATTTGCAAAGATTAATTAATTCACAGTGGATGTCTCAGTCATGGCTGTGAATTAGTGAATCGTTAATGTACTAAGAGCTCTCTTGTGCTGAATTTAATTCCTGCTTCTAAGAGCTTAGAAAAATCATGCTCTCACTGCTGAGGGATTTCCCTGCAGTGTGCAGGGATGGTAATTGCACTGAACCCATTTCTTGCATGATCTCTTTTCCAATGGTCATTTGTAAAGTGGTAGTGTCTATTTTCCAGGAGCTGGTGTTGAATCCCTGTACCAGTGCTTGCCTTTAAACAGTACCCTGAATATTATCTGTTTAAATTTGAGTGGTTTTAGCATAATTATGGGTTAACAATTTGAACTCAGACATACACACTCTTTCCATGTTGGCTTTGAAAACAATTATTTCCAGCTCACAAGTGGGTTATATGAACTGCCAACATTTTGCTGACTGCACACTGTGGGTCTAGGTGAGCTTGGCAAGGTCCTGTCACATCACACAGGCAGTGCCCCCTGCCTGCTTCAGGTCCAGGGCTGCTGCATCTCTTACATCTTCATATAACAGCAAGTAGGTATTTGGGGGATACAAGGAAGTATATATAAATCTATTGTATTATATATATTATATTGCAGGGATGGCTGCAGGTGTGATCAGAAGCATTTTTCCATGCCTGAGCTGTAGCACACAGCTGACTGAGATGGCTGGTCCAAGAAGACCCCCAAGAGGTCAAGAGGCAGCTTTGCCCATTGACACCACTTGCCCTCAGTACAGCAGAGAACCACAACACGTGGATTTCAGAGCAGCAACATCCTGCCTGCAGGAAAACATTACTGTGTGGAGGAGCCTGACCCAAACCCTCCCCAGCAACATGACAAGGAAGTGCAGGAAGGGGATGTGAAGACACGTAATCAAAAAAAAAAGCTGAAGACAGAAGCTGTCGGCTCACGAGGAGCTTACAGATGTTTTGGGAAAGCAGGCCAGCAGGTCTCACACTGATGCACGGCAGTACTGAGGCAGACCCGCTGGGACGAGGTTTTGCCTCGTGGCTTGTAAGACATTCATGACATACATTCCATTAAAAATGCATTTTTCTTCTTTAAACATTGTGTGTTATACCACACTAATGGACAACATCAGCTTGATCTCTTCTCAATGCAGGCAAATCTGCATTTGTCACTGTGACAATAATAGATGAGTATTATGTACAGGGACACAAAAACAGCCCGGAGCCCTTCCGTGCTGCAATGGGAACTGCAGAAAACCTCCAGACTGTAATTCACCAGCACCTGATGCACCGGCACCTGATGCATCACGACGCTCAGACCATGTCCAAGGCACGATGCCAAATCCCAACCCCACACAGGAGCCCTGAAGGTCACGACATGGGAAAGGAGCTTTGTGGCAGTGCAGACGGTGAGGAGGGTCTGCAGGAGGGCAGGCCAGAGAGGGGGTTGGGGGGCAATAATAATGAAAAAGAATAATAAATACAAATTATAAATCAGTAAATACCAAATAATAAATTTAAACAACAATTAATTAAAAAAAATACCGAGTACTAATAAAGAATAAAAGAATAGGCTGCACCTGGGGTTTCACGTTCAGTTTTGGGCCCCTCACTTTAAAATGGAGCGGGAATAGAGGAGGGCAACAGGGCTCGTGAAAGTTCTAGAAAACTTGTCTTATGAGGAACAGCTCGGGGAGCTGGGTTGGTTTAGTCTTGAGAAAAGGAGGCTCAGGGGGACTTCGTCGTTAACTACAACCACCTGAGAGGAGGTTGCGGTGAGGTGGGGCTGGTCCCTTCTGCCGTGCCTGCAGGGAGAGGACAAAAGGAAGTGGCCTTAAGCCGAGACAGAGGAGATTCGGATCAGATAGTACAAAAATTTTTTCCCCCTCTTAGTTTGGTGAGTCACTGGAATAGGTTTCCCAGGGAGGTGGTGGCGTCACCGTCCCTGGTACGAGGAGTCTGGATCTGGCACTGGGCGATGTGGTTTAGGGGTTACACTGGTGGACGGTTGCACTGGATGATCTTAAAGGTTTCTTCCAACCTCGAGGATTCTACGACTCTAATATTAAAGACGAAACCCAACAGAACCGGGAACAGTAAAACGAGGAAATAACGAAAGGGACGGTGGGTGGGGCGATGCCGGGGCCGTCCCGCGCAGGCGCCGTCCTGGGTCCTCCGCGCCGGCAGGGGGCGGTGTGGGGCGCGGCGGGCGGAAGTGCGGGCGGGGGCAGGGCCGGAGCGACGCCGCGGAGCGCGGATCGCGGGGTGGGGGGGACGGGCCGGGCGAGCGGGGCGCGCCGCCTCTGCCGCACTGAGAGCCGGAGCACAGAGCCCAGAGCCGCCAGGGCGGGCCCTGCCCGCCGCACGCGCAGGTACCGCCGGGCTGGGGGGGCCGCGGCCGCGGGCATTGTCCGACGCGGGGCCCGGCCGTGCCCTGCGGGCAGCACGGCCCGCACGGTGCCCGCCGCACTCCCGGCCCGCTCCCCGCTGGTTGCCGGGAGGGACCGGCCGGGCCGGGCGCGGCTGGGCCGGGGGTGGGTGCCGCGGGTGCGGGGGAACCGTGCGGGGATGGGCACGGCCGGGGCTGCGCCTCCCGGGTGGCAGTGCCGCGGTCCCGGAGCTCTTCCAGCGCAGGGCCAGGAGCGATCACCGGGAAGCGGCGCGGGGGGAACCCTGGAGCGGCCGCGGCGACCGGGCCGCCGCCAGAGCAGCGCCGGTCCCGGCACAGCGGCAGGGCTGGGCCGGGCCGGGCCGGGGGCTCTTTGTTACAGCTGTGGCCGCACGGACCGGCCCAGGCTGCGGACCCCGCACTGCCTGGCGCGGCCTCCCGGGGTCCTGGTCTGAGGCCTCTTCCTACAATTGTTCCCGTTGGGAGCCCCGATGGGCCTCTGTAGCAGGAGTTGTGCGTGGGGGCTGCTCGGAGCCTGTTTTCCTTCAGACTGCCCCATACAAAGCTAACACAGCATGTTAAATAGAAGAAAAAAAGTTTTGTCTCTTTTTTTCCTGTGAAATACTACCGGCACTGAAATTAAGATGTACCTAGTGTTGATGGCGTTTTAATTTTTTTTTTTTTTTAATTTTAATTTTCGGTGAGGGATCACGTAGGTACTCACGATTTATTTAAAATATGGGAATGGTGTGATTTAATTTGCATGATGAGTCAAAAATTAAATTACATGACCGAGGCTCTTCAGTTTCAGTGAGGAAAGTAACAATGTGCAGAAGAACAGTTTCAGTGTAGATCAGAAAAGAAATTTGATTAGCATCGACATATTGAAAAGTTTTTTTTATGCTTGTGGGTTTTTTTAAACTTACCTGTCAGAAAGTCTTAGTTCAAGGCCCTGTGTTTTGCTCTCATCAGGAAGTGTGTCTTCCTTTTTAGCACGGAGAGCTCATGCAATCATAGACTGTCAGAGGAAATTTAACATCCTGAGCTTGTGCCTTGGTATCAAAGCTTTTAAATAATAGATTTTTACTATCTAAAACACTGTGTACCTTTGGTTAATAGCTACTACCTAATACCTGTTGATATGACACATGCCTTTCACTGGCGACAGAAAAAAATGCCAGGAAGTATTCTCTGAAGTAGAATAAACATGGTACCTGTTCTGGGGTCAGAAATAACTGGATTTTTTTTTTTAGTTTTCAGTTGTCCTGTGCAAATTTTTTAGCTAATCTGATCTGTAAGTGGCATGATGGCACATGGCACAGTGTCTTGGTAGGATTCTATCTGACATGGACTTGCTGTTGTAAGAATATTGTATTTCACGGCTTCACGGTTCTCTTGTGGTGTGAGAAACTGCTGGGTTAGCCAGCTGGTATGCACTTCACTTAAATTTATTTGTATTTAATAAGTTGTAGTGTGATATACCTGTTGTTGGGGGCTTTCCTTGGCCAGACAGATGTACCTTGGTACAGAAGGAGATTGTGTCTGGTGGTGTTGAGAGCAAGCAGAATAAAGTCTTGGACTGTGAGTTTGTATGCGTGAACTAAGATGCTGCTGAATGTTTCTGAATGCTGGTAGCATTGATTCTTTTTTCTTAAGTTTCTTTTTCTTAAGTTAATTGACTTCTTCATGTTGACACAGTTCTGAAACTTTGCTGCATTCTGTGCGCATTTAATGAGTGGTTGTAAGGGGGGAATTAAAAACCCAGATTGATACCTTTTAAGATACATGTATTTATACAAATAAAGGATACTAAATAAAAGTGCCAGTTGAGCAATATTTTGTGACAGTATGTCTTTGAGAGATAATTATGCTCTTTGGGTATTATCAAGTGCAGACAAATGTATATTCCCAGAGGGGTGTGATAATATTAAAACTCCACCTCTTGGAATTCCTTGATTGGTTTTAGGAAACATTTATTCAGGAGGGAATGGTATCTATTTTGCATTCTGTGGCCTCTCATTAATTAATGGATGGTAGTTGAGACCTGACAGTTGTCCTGTACATGCTGCACTTCCTAGGGTTTTTTTTAGGGCATTTTGGTGAATATTACCATTACTGACCAGTGTCCTCCCTTCTGAATCAGTTCTTTATTGACTTTTTGCAGATTTTTATAATGAGTTGTTTGCAGCCTTAATTTTTGTGTAAGATATTTCCGAAAGCTCATAATCTCTGTACATGCTTAGAGGCTCTTGACACTTGCTAAAATAATGATTTTTTTTTTTTTTTGGTAGAGTTTCAGAACTCTTAATAGCTGATGGTGGTTTGAAGCAGGGGGCAGGAAGGAGCCTGGTGACCTTTTGAATTCCCTTCTGGCCCTGCTTTTCTGTACTTGTGACACTTTGTAATATGGTTCACTTACAAGAGCAGCTATTAAAGTATGATTATCGTGGTCTAATTGGAGGCATCTTGGAGCTACCTATCAAAAATAAGATTTGACTCATCTGCTCCTTCAAAATTAATAGTTCCACAACAGCCTGCAGCTATTTATGTGAATAATGTGCAAAGCAGAAATATGAGTTGAATTCCAGTATTGTAATTTCTACACTGTACACTTGAAATCTGGTAAATTTAGCAATTTTTGATAGGGAAACAATGGGCTACATATACTTTTATGACTTCTCAGCTGCAGGTTGAAGCTGGGTATTAATGACATTGGACAAAAACCTGTTTAGTTGTTCAGGGATCCTAAGTCACGGTGTTCACCACGGCTGTAGACAAACCTCAAGCAAGATATAAAATTCCTTTTGCTGTTCTCAGAAAATGATACTTCCCCAGTTTGTCATCTAATTGGGGGAGTTAATTAGTCTGGATTGTGTGCAAGTTCAGCTCCCCTTCCCTTCCATCTAGGCCCTCTCTTTGCTCGCTCTCAGTACCATCCTTCTGGCACCACGAGGTGCAGAGGTGTGAGCCAGAAGGAAGATGAATATCTGCAGTTAGAAGGTGAAACTTTATGCTGAGATCCCTCCCCATCCCCCAAGTGCAAACACAAAGGTTAAATTAGAAGATGAGGCTGTCTTGAATTATTTTAACGGACTTGAGCTGGGCTGTTAAACACACGACCGGGGGGACCTAAGGCTTACGCTGATGTCATGTGAGTTTGGTCTTTCTTTAGCCTGAGCAGATTTATGTGCTTTCCTTATTGCACCTTGTGATAAAATGACATATTCATTTGTCCCTATTTAAATACTCCTTATAAAGGATTGGATTCAGGATTGATCCAAACTGGAAGCAGCCAAAATACTGTGTGTTTACAGGAATAACTGTGGTCATTCCTCAAGAGCCTTCACAGCTTCTTTTCTTCAGACAGGGTTAATTTAGGAAGTAAATCGCTTAGGTTTAAATAAACAACTGCAATTTGCTTTGTAACTTCCTTGTTTTGAGTATTCCAGCTGATGCTTCAGATAATCAGAAGTTTCAGATAATGCAAAAAGTTTCTCACTGCCTACTTCAAATTTGCTGAAAGGGAGCAAATTTTAAGCCTATCAAGAAGGGCATAAAATTCTGGGGGATATTGCTACGTGTTGTAGCTACCTTTCTGTTTATTGAAAATCTGCTACTTGTAATTAAATTCCGAGTTACTTTCTGAAGATCTGTTTGCTCTGTAATCCTCCCCTTCAAACACTCAGAGAATTCATCACCAAAAAGTTA